AATTTCAGAAAAAATTTTTTAAATTTCATTTTTTGTATGCAAACTGAGAAGTTTAAGATAATACAGAAATGATAATTTACAATCGACTGATGGGAAATAAATTGAATAAAGCAGCAGGCAAGACAAAAATTCATAACCCATTAACATACATGTTAGTTTGTTAAGCACACTTCTCCGATATAATGATTTTATCAGAATTCAAAAAGCTGTGTGAATCAGGCAGGAGAAACAGTAGCTAAAACTTTATTTCGTCGATTCCTGCTTGTAATATGGTAAAAGTACATCAAAAATTTATGTTAAAAATCTACCAGGTAAAATAGAAAGTACACTTGAATATAGATATCTCAATTTCGTCAATCCCTTCCAATTGTTCTTTGCTCAAAAAAGTTTCTGACTATTTCTAACTTCACTCCTTTGATCATTCTGTTTCTATACCATACCACATTCTGTATCACATTGATCTCAAATGCTCGTCATGATAACAGAGATCAACTCAAATCTATGTGAAATCATTTCAGACCGGGAATGGTTTAGATTAAAATATTAATTGTATTAGTTGTATTTATGTCATTTTATTCATTTACTGTAAAGTAATCTATGAAACAGTCGAAGCATTTTCTATCTATCAAATCCAAAGTCACAGTAACGTAAGTACTGTCTCAAAGAAAAATCACAATCAGACATACTGCACATGAATTTCTTTTTCATTTACTACACATCAGGTATCTTTACAATTTTAATATGGTGTTGATAATTACAAATCCTTTTTCCGGAAAGATTCACAGTAGCAATCTGCTGAATTATTTATCATCTAAATACACAAAATCATATTTAGTAGATAATTTCGTTAAAACAAAATTTTATCAACAGGATCACAGGCATTTGTTGATTAAGAATAAGAATTCAGGGATTCCAGCATGCAAATTGTTCATTTTACCCATTAACTTTACTCTCATAGGAATTTTTCAGCTAACAGTGTTTCACAGTTTTAATGTTGTGCCTGAATCAGTCAGATCCTTTTCTACCCAGGAATTTTCAACAACAGTTATTTAAAAATTGATTTGATGTTTTAATTTCATGCACTCCATCCTTCTTACTGTTTTAGTCTTCTTTCATCTTTCTATGACTTCCTATCTTTAGATTTCTGTAAAAAAGTATTAATTTCAATTCTAACTAATTCTTTGATGACTGAATTTTTGTGTATTGTTGATTTATCCATAATTGATTGCCCAGCTTATATATTCCTTTTTTCTGTATTTTTTTAACACTTAAAATATGTGAATTTCCTAAATTAATTCAATCAGAAATATTTTTTCTCTTAAAATAATAAAAAGAATTAAAAAAAAAAAAAAAAAATCATTCACCACGAAATGATTTGTATTGCCTTATAAAAATGGCATGACCAAAGTTTAAATCTTGAAATTTATTGTTCAGACCAATAAGCCAATCACATAAATAATACTTCATATCCACTAAATATAACTGAAGATGTCGTAAAAAAGTGGAGAAAAGGGATATAAAGCGTCAACAAGAGTTGCAAATAATGAATAAATTATACCTTTCTCGACTATATCAATATGAAAGATTTAAGTAAATTCACAGTCATTTTTAAGTATTCAGTTACTTTACCTGTAGTTATTTCTTATATTGTAATATTACTGATGAATTTATTTGGTAATTTTGGACTTTTTTATTCGGTAACGGTTTCACTTACACTGTGATTGTAAAGTACTCATTATGCATGGTATATTATTTGTTCAATTTGGGAAGTATTATTTATTCATCTCAGATCGTTCAGCTCATTCGTTATCTTGTTTATCATATTATATCGACAATTCAGTTTGACTGAAACTGAATTCTGTTCTCAATATTTACAATGTAACGATGGCTTGCTATTTAGTTAACCTTGAATAGTATTTTAAAACTATTCAAATGTCTAGTGTAGTGGCAGTTTCAGTAACTTTCAATAGCAAATATTAGCACCCGCACGTAAGTATTGTAAAAAAAAAAAAACAAACTACTGTAAAAACTATTGTAAAGTATTGTGAAAAAAAAAAATTCAGTAGTAATAGAACTGTTCTTATTGTCATCATTCTAATGTGGTACTTCTGCGTCCGCTGAATAGTTTAACGTCTAATGTTAATATCTAAAATCATTTGATGAGTTCTTTTCCATTGAAATTTTTACCAATCATATTTGAGTTAAATAAAGCGTACAAGAGAAATGAAAAATTTGCCAGAATTATTATTATTATTTAATATCAGCGCAATTGCATATTATACAACTTTCATACTCTCCAAAAAAAGAGATTTATAATGCTTTTTCAACTAATTTTATTTTATCCTTTCCTTAACCAGAATGTCAAGTGGAATTATATATTGTGTATCATAGAAAATACTTACTCAATTATACAAGATAATTATCTAAATAAAATAGTTGCTGCTAGGAAATAAGGAATTTTTTGATGAGAGGAGTTCGAAGTTCTTGATTAATTTTATTAGGAATTAACAATTGTACACCTCAATTTGGCATAACAATTACAAAAGCTGGAAATATATGAAGAAATCTGAGTAGAAGTGTCACATCTTTCAGTTCTAAACCATTGATGATCAAGTTGATTGACGTCGAACTTGATCCAACCATTTTGATAAGAAGTTTTCTCAAGCAAATATCAGCAAGCTACAGATAAAACCTATCACATATATCACATATCTGCTGTTTCTGATATTTAATAAAAAGCTCGTTTGAATACTAAAAAGAAGGAACTATTTCACATAAATCAGCATTGAAATTGTTTATAAATTTTACTGTTTATTCAATCACTTAAATTAGTCAAAATGTTATTGATCAAGAAAAAAATATGTGTTTATGCAAATTATAAAATTGTGGAAATGCATTTCTGCCCATTTGAAATTTTAGATGAACAATTCATTTTAATTAATGGAATTATTTTTCACTTAAAATACTTTTCAAATAAATCGAATCTATCTTAATTACATCAAAAATCATTCGTTTTATTTATCATTAATTATGGAATATATCAATATATCAAAACTCTTCAGAGACTGATAATTAGAAATGATTGAAAAAATCATTTAGGTTTTTCTTTCGTTCTTCCGAATCAGTCAGTTACCATTCTTATATTTATATTTTCAAAGTTCAGAAAACTTTAAACTCAAATTAAGCTTAAGTATTGCAGGTTTGAAAATTGAAAAAAAAGATTTCTTGATTCTCGAAATCTTTTAACCAACTCTTCAGTTGCATTTTATATTTCTTCATTATTATAGTTAAATAATCCTCACAACTCTGTAGAATCGTGAAGTTTTCTATACGCCGTTGTTTGAAAGTTTAAAATCAATGCAATAAAAATAACCTCATTTAAACATTCTTAAGCAAAGGAAAAAATAGATTCAAAAAAGTGCAGAAACTTTTTTTTCTTTAACATATATTTTAATCAATAAAAAAAAGTTATATATGCTAAAGTAAAGATGCTAAAGTGCTAACAATCTGTTATGTAATTGTATCGAACTTCGAACTCATACACGTCAACGTTACCGAATCGAAAACTGCTAATGTTAAATAAGAAAAAGTTCATCTGAAAAGAGTTTTAAAATGTTTGCTCATAAAATTTAACTTTTCTAAAAGTCTATTTTCTTTCTGCTAAAGCAACACAGGACGTTGTCTATTTTATTTATGCAGTACTTAACAATTTCCAGATACAATAGCATAAGCATAAATATTTGTATCTGTCAAATCATTTGGGATTTTCAAGAAATCATTTTCAAAGTGTTTCCTTGCACATGACGAAATATGGAAAAATCAACGAAATATACAGATAGATGGCAATATAAGTAAGAAAAACAAAATGAAGTGATTTGTGCTGTCGATGAATAAACTTTTAAATAATATAGCGGAATGGAATTATTTTTATCAAACGAAATGATAATGTTTGAGATAACTATGGTTGGTGTGCTTATGATAAAATATGATTTTTTTGCTTATCACATTTGATTTTAACATTTTTTTTTTCATTTTTGTTTTGTAAAATTTGTTCACTAAACGATAATGATTCGTCAGAAAGTTCAAATATACTACTGATTAACTTATTAATTAAGTGATGTCAACAGATTTATGAAAATATTTTTTCTGAATGAGTGAAGGACGTCTTGAAAATAGACTTAATTATTAAATTCTGTTTTTTTTTTTTTTTTTTTTTCTGAAGAATTAATAGGTCTTACTGACTGAAATTTTCCTGAGCCAATGTGTCATCGCATTCTGTTCCCATGTAAGTGAATCATTTTCAAAAGATGTCAATACTTTTATGTTCCATTAATTTAGTGACTCTTATGATAGAAACTGCATATGCAAGTGCAATACTACATCTGCATGGGATATCAGTTGCTATAGTTACGAATTATCGCAATTGCATTTTATATATTTGCTGCATTTATATAATATTTAGTACTTGCTGCTTATTCTTAAAAGCAATCCTGGCTTCCCACATCATTCTCGACATTGATTTTTTACTAATTTCAAATATTTTTCTGATTTATCAAAACTTTTCAGTTCCTTTATATTTTGTGTAAATTTTGTACTAAAGAGTTACAAGCAGTTATAACATCCTTAAGAATTGTAGTAACTGATGCTTTTGAAATGATTATTTCGATGTTCATTTTAAGAATCAGTCAGCCGAAAAATTCAAAATACTGAACCTTCACGATATATGAGTTTGAGTGAAATATAATCTGATGAAAGTAGTGAGAAATTAAAGATTAGAAACTTAATTATTTGACTGTTAAACAATTAATTTAAAAAAATTCTTACATTTGGAAAGGATGTTTGAACCAGCAAATTCTTATTCTGAAGTTATATTGTCTCAAATTTGAAATTATTTCATTAGCCGTTCGCACTATCAAATATTTTTCCGGAATAGGTCATATTCTAAGGTTTCTTTCCACACTAACTTCTAATCTCAGATACTGAAAAATATCTCATTGGTAATGCAATCTAATGCAAAACGCCGATTCGTGGATGCGTATTTGAATGAAGTGGGAGATATGAGGAATGCGGTGAGTCGTTTGCAGTTGTATGAAATCGCAATAGCCGCTGGCAAAGATTTGTTGATATCTGACTTGGGACCTACAGGTAATTTTTTTGAATAAATGAACTAGAGTTCGCAATAAACAAATCATTTGAAGTTTTTATTCAGGATTCTCATGTCGAAAATTTTATTCTATTATTTTAAATCATTTGAAAGTTTTATACAAAATCTAAGAAACGGATATATATAAAGAATGCTTTTGAACTATTTGATGAGATCTTTTTTCATTGATTTTCTTTCCTTCAACAAAAAAACTCATTAAAGAAAACAAATATTTTATAAGTTGTAATTCTAGATTTCAACCTTTGAGGCTTAGAGACTTACTATTAGTGAAGAAATGTTTAAGAATTACTGAGAAAAAAAAAAAGGTTATTTGAACGCATTTTTGAACAATTCATTAAATGAAAAAGTGAAATAGTAAAAATTTGTGGGATACAAAAAAAGACTAAAGAACAATTACTCTTTAAAAATAGTAAAGAAAGTTAGAAGAAACAAAGAGGTTTCTTGTTAAGCAAGAATGACGATGGTTTATTCGAGTAATTCTTTGACATTCTGTTTTCTGTGAGCAGTGTTTTGGCAGCAATATACTTCTGTTTAGGGAGCCTTGAAGAATTTCTGAAAATGACTTATTTTCCAAATAATCTTTGATACGATTAAACGAAAACTCCTGATAACTTAGTACCATGCAATACCTACAGATCAAGGTTTGCTTGGAAAACACATAAACTTTGAAATCATTTTTTTAATAATTTAAAATTAGGAACTATTATGAAAAGAATAAATGAATGGGACGAGTAAACTATGTAAATTAATGAAGCAAAAAGTATATTGAAATTGTTTATTTATTTGAACTTGTTTCTTCTTTCCTGTAAGACTTTCTTGGAGATCATAAACTGGGATGAAACAGAGAAATGACTAATTTTTTTTAAAAATGTTATTGAAAAATATTTTCTTCCAAAAGATTGAAGCTGCGTGAATTGACTGGAAATTCAGAAAATATACTTAACAAAGTTTTTAGCAACCCTTGCGGTGCATTTAAACTAATAGATCAATCATGTGAAAAGTTTTAACTCCACATATCATAATAGATGCTAGCTGGCCAAAGGAAGTATTTTAATCTTCTAATTGGAAAATTTATTTCATACAGAACAAAACTGTAGTATCTTGGAGGAAAGATATGCAAGTGGTTTTTGGTTAAGCCATTTGTACTGTTATTATAGTTAAAGAAATTGATTTAGAGTTCTTTGTCTTTTGAAGAGAAAAAACTAATTTAGTGATTTTTTAAAGTTGTTTTTTGGCATCACTTTTAATTGCCTCTTCTTGAGTTGTATGAATTTAGTTTGCTTGATTATTACTCAGTCTTTAATTTAATAAACAATCTCATGGAGCCGTATTCTCTGAAATTTGCAATTTATACAACTCAAGAAGAATTGATGAGAAATCCACTTCAACATAAATATAAAGGAACCATATGTTTAATCAATATTTCAAGTCAAAAAATTTTAAATTAAATATTTCATTAAATTTTCTTTGGAAAATTAGATAAACGAACTTGAGTACTTTAAAATTTGCTTCCACGCATTGCATTCTCTTTTGATTGTGAAACGATTTTGTGATTTCTAATTACAAAAATAAGATTTCACGATAACCTTTCTTTGTCATAAAGAGAAAAATAGTTTGAGTCACAGAAGGCGAGCGAAAAGCTTAGGAGGAAAGTGAAGAAACCTATCTTTCTGTTTTTTCTTATAAAATTATGAAGAAATCATTGTTAACGCTGAAGAGTAAAGATGAATTTAAAAAATGAAATAATTCTAGTGTCAATAATTAACTCGTCCCAACAATTAAAATCATAAAAACTGCCAGCATTCAGAACTTACTGACAATAATTTGGAACAGTCTCCAATTGCTAACAGCAGTTAATTGAAATAAATCATTGACGATTATTCATTAAGTTACAGCTTATTTTTAAGTGAATTAATCGAATTATTCCAGTTCTAGCTATCATTATATCAAATTTCCAAATTGAAAACGTTCTTAGTGTAATTAATTTAAGCAAATTTCGCTTCTTATCTTTAGACTGCTATCAATTCGATAAAGCATATGAAGTTTTTGAACTGTTACCTGCGACAAATTTCTTGGAAATAATGAAACAGAGCAGTAATTGTATTGATGAAATCGAGTGGAATCAGCAGTTTATTGAATTAAAAGAATTAGCTAATTCATTGAATGAGGTTTGAAAATCAAATTAGAATTCATTTAATTTTTTGTTTTTAATCATTTTTTTCTGATGTACACTATTTAAATAAGATGTGAATTAATTGAGAAATCAAAAAATGTTCGCGAAAACTGTGCATTTAAGCGTCTCTATCAAATTGACAAAAAACAAATTCTCACTAAACTAATAATACCAAATAGATATCACAAAAGAAATAGTAAAGAAACGCTTGAATTGTTTAGATTTTAATTTTCATGGTAAGAATTTAGCAACTGAAAAAAAGGAAAAATGAAGGTTAATTTAAAAATTTATTTGAATGAAAGAATAACAAAAGAATTTTATTCATTAACTTCTTGTAGCTTAGTGCACTGTACAACGTTAACATTTCAGCGATAGCTTCTATTTAAGATTTCAAATAAGAAATTTTTTCAAAATTGCTATTAGAAAATTTCATAACGACATATAAATTAAAGAATTCCAATTATTTGGTGTATTAATGAAGGACGCTAGAAATATGTTCACAGTTGGCTAGTAAATCCAGCTGTGCAACATTTTATGGAAGATTTGAACCCAATGAGTGTAAATTGGAGACCTATAAAAAATTAGAGAGAACTTTAAGAGAAAAGAAATGACAAGTCTTACATTGATTAGTGATGAAAAGCACTGTGTGACAAGTATTTTTGGAATATCGGATGGAAGGATAAATTGAAGAAGAAATATTAGCGATTGATCTCTGCTGTTACACCTTTTCAAATAATAAATTTGTGATATCCATGCAGCAAACTATTCATATAAAACTGTGGATGATTACAGGTTGGAGAATTGAATGTGGATGAAATAAACGTAGTGTTGCATTTCTTGGAATCATTTGCAAATTATGGGAAAATTGATTGCAAAGAGGTAAAGGTTTATTTTTTGGACTCTTCATATGGATGATGAATCTCTATCTTAACTTTCAAAGTCATTTTTTATTCAGAGTTATTAAAAATCTAGTTGTGTGTCATCGGAATATTTCATAATGATACTAGCCTTCAAATGGTCGATGGTTATTGTCAGTGTTACAAGTATTTCAGTGCTGCAGTATCCTTAATTAATCAGTCTGAGGTTAAGAAACGAAACGTATTCTTAGATTGGAATAAAAATATATGCAGTAATGAAAAGATGAAATTATGTAAAATAATTTTCTATCAAGTATTAAAAGACCTAAAAAGAACTGAAGTTTCAAGATGATGTAATCTATAAGACGAGAACCGAGAAAAAGGGTTTTAGTAAAAAAAAAAAAAAATGACGAAAAAAGGAAATATTAAAAGGATGGAGAAACTTTGCAAATACTCTTTTTCTGTCACATACTTTTAAAAAATAAAACAATTCAAATGTTAAAAATCAGCACAATTTTATTTGCAGCTTTTTGGTGAATTCGAGAAAACTCGAAACAGACTGCTTGATGTCGTCGCACAGGAATTCATCAGCAAACAAGTCGCAATTCCAAAAAAATTCACAGGACTAAAGGAGTTACAATGCAGATTACCTGAAAGTATTGTCCAAAGATTTCGAGAAATGATTTAAAATTTAAGTGCTTTCAAAAGTTTTGTTTTTTGCATGGAAGAAATTCGTCATATCATTTATTACAGGTGTGAAACTTCAACAGTTAAACGGTTTAACACCTATGTTCAGCTCGCAGGTTTTTTTTATTTGGTTTTAATTGCAGCATATCAGTGTAATTGTTTGGTATGAACCATTAAGATATTTTATTTTTCGAGCTTACCAATTAAAACCTAACATTTTTTGCTTAATGCCGTGAAATTTTATTTCGTTTACTTACTATCTGCAAAAATAATAATGAAATTGTTATTTATTCAGCATTGCAGGTCACTCGACGAGCATTTCGCGTAATGAATGATGATGATCGCATTTTAAACTATCATCTCATTCTTAATCAATCACAGATTGTTTTCATTATGTGTGAATTAATGACAAGCAGTAGGTTGTGTCATATTTTTACGAAGTTACAAACTTTATGAAAATTAGACCATATTTCATCTCTGTTCCACTACATTATTTCGTGATGGTTTGCATAAATTTCATGTTTTTTTTTTTTGATTCAAATTATTTTTTGTAACGATTTGTCAAATTAACTATCAAATACCTTCAAGTCGTCTAATTTTAAGTGATAAAAATATCTTTTTTCTGCAATTAATGAAGTATGAACAAATTCATTCATTCATTTTTTTATTCAAGCAAATAGGTGAATGATCAGTGAGCAGCTGTATGGCAAAGGTTTGTGACTGATGAAATTTATGCATTATGGCAAAATTAAAGATTAATTCGATATTTCTTGTAATGAATTCTATTTCTCTTAGATGATCAGCCAGTGGATCGGAATTATAAAAATGACATATACGTTATACTCTATGATACTGTTGAAGAGCGAGTAATTACACTTACAACGAAGATCCTAGAAAATGTAATCTTTCCTAATAACGAGATTGATTTTATTTAAACAAAATAATTTATATAGCTTAACTTGCATGTACTAATAGTGAATTAGAATTTCTGTTTAAATATAATCTCCTCAAACAAAAAAAGAAATTTTTTGTAACAAGAAATACTTCATTCATATTGACCAGTAATGCCAACGAAGCTAACAGTAATATAATTATATAAAAACTGTAAGCAAATATGAAATTCTTTTATGTTGAAATAAAGTTAACAAATGTTTATGGCTTATTTTACATCAGTAAAAGTCTACATTGGATTTAATAAGATTCTTTTATGTTATTTAAAAATGAAAACTACTTTAAAAACATGAATGATAATCACTCATGAACTAAATGGATTGTCGATGATAAAATAAGTATTCGAGCTTTAATTAATCAAATTTTGTTTTAATTTCAAGAAATATCTAAGTGAAGAATGCCTCTTGAAAGCAGGCGAATATATAATCAGTGTTCAATCGTCACATTGTTTGGAGAACGTTATGAATTCCACAAGCTATGAAATGAAGTTGCTGGACTCTGATGGGAAATTAACAAAGCATTTCAAGTAAGTTTGTCTATCTGTTTTAGTCAGTAAAAAGAAACTACAGATGTCCGAATACTGTGGATTTATTACTTTTCAAGGTATTAAAGAATTCGTCTTCTTTTGAAGATTTGCATTCTAATATGTCATTTATAAAATTTACAATTTTCTTCGACAATTAATGTGATTTAAATTATTTCTGAAAAATCTTACAATTAAAAATTTTTCTTTAGAAGAAAACAGAATTGAGGAATTGTAGTAAATTTGAAATCTTAGGATGACACTGATGAATATGTTTGATCTGTTCGATTTCGATGAAAACGGTAAATTAAGTCGAGAGGAATTTGACATATACAATACACTGGCTAGTGATGAGCATGTTCTTGATCAGGTCCGGACAACAACATATTTTTCCTTATAGTTTGCTATCAGTTTTCTACGCGACGGATTTTTTATATTTTATAGTCAACCTTTATAAATGCAACACTAAGCTGAATAAATGAAATAGTCGTCTTGTTACTAATCTTTTGCTAAAAATGCTTCAGATATCATTGGAGACTGAAAGAAAATAGAATTGTTAATGTTAGTTACAAAAACTTACTTACTCTTAGATTGTGACTTGTGTTGACATTCACATATAACGTAAGATGGCACAGAAGAGTTAATGAAGAAATCGATAGCTTTATGGATTGAGAAAATCAGCAGTTGAATAAGCTTTCTCCAGCAGTGGAGAAAGCTTATTCAACCAAAGGTCCTGCCACTTTCATGAATTTGAGATAAGTAAAATTAGAAATAAATATGGTATGAAAACCTAATATATGTATGCACATATAACAGGTATATATATAATCAGGAATGGTAGCTAGACGAGAATTTGATATATTTCAAGTCTTGTCTTTGCATCAAGAATAATTAAAATGCTTCTTATTAATATTTTCACTATCTCACTAATTTAGAATATCTAAAGAAATACACTTTTAAAATAGAATTTATAATGCAAAGTGACCATTTAGTGGCACTCACTGCACTACTTGTATAAATCTCGTGTTAGCTCTAGGTCAACACCAAATCCATATCCTTGCTAAATCAAATCCATATCCTTGATAAACCAATCACAAGTCACTCTTTTCTTTTTTTAGAACCGGCAGTATTACTTTTTTAACTTGCTCATATCCACTGAGATGAGTGGCAAAAGTTCAGAAACAAGATCGATCAATATTTTCCTTAAGTGATATCCCTTTTAGCATTTCCATAAAATCAATGTTATCTAGTTCTCGAGTCATTATCTGCTCTAATAAATGATTGCATAATGACTTTTTTGAGCAAACCTACTCACAAAGTAACGTCAGAACCTTTGTCTTGCAAGCGGTTCTAATGGTTTTACAGATGGCGTGGAATTAAAACCATAGCTGAATTAAAATTGCATTTAAAATAGTTTATTCTGTTTTTAATTCGTTTACTCTGAATGACACCGCGATTTATGACAGCTTCTAGTCATAAATATTGATTCTATTACACATTGAAATTTCACTAATTTTGATTATGTACTAAAAATTATTTTAAATTTGTATTAGAAACGCATGCAGATATTCATTTTGAGTGCAAACTTTCTTGTAGACTACTATACCGTGAATTCGAGCGTAAAATAAAAGTAACTCTTATTATTATTATTATTATTATTTACGCTACTAATTGGTTCAATTTCTAGTCATAAATATTGATCAGTTAATTTTATTTTCAGGAATGGGAAATACTTTGTCAAAATTTTGGAGCTGAAGATGGTGAATTGCTGCTAAATTCTTTTGTCGCACTTCATCAGGTTTTCTAAAACATCTTTCATCCTTGAAAGTAGCAACGAAGAGATATGTTGCTATATTGAGACAGGTGAGTTTATAGAAAAGATTTAAATATTTTTCAGGTAGAGGCAGATAATGATCCATCATTAGAAGACACCTGGATGACATTGATGTGCGTTGGGTATAACGAACAGTTGGATCTGATAAATGTCATATTTCTATTTTTGTCTTATTTTGCTTAAGCAATTAGGTGACTCGAATGGCTAAGGTTTGCACTAAATTTCTATAACTAGTTTAACGCGTTTTTACTCGTTTCTACAGTTAGTCATATAGTCCTTAAAGCGACGTAAACCTTCGAGAAGAACGCAGGTGAGTCTTTGGGAGTTTTATCAATGATATTACTCCATAGTAACTCTAATCTTTCCTTTTTTTTAAAAAAAAAAAAAAAGGAAAAAAAACTGAGGATACAAAATTTTAAGCTAAAATAAAATGATATTAAAGAACTGTCTGTGCGCATTCACAATCTTTTCCGAATCGATTGTTTATATGGGACGGGTAGAGTTACGTGAACCTACGACAAATGAGAATGTGGCGTTAGCTGATTATTTCTGGAGAAACGGTCAGGAGGTTGGTGGTGACGTCGATGTACGCATTTGGAAATGTGACTATTTTGCTGTTTGTATAGCTGGTCCAATGGTTTGCATTTTTTGTATTCTTCAGGAATGAGACTTTAAAGATAAATATAAACTTTTACAATATGTTTTTAATATCTTGGTTCAAAATGTCCTAATATTTGATTTTTATCTTCCTAATGCATTTCATTCTCTCTCTTTAGTGAGGTGGCGTCCCGGTCTCTTAGTAGATGACAGTTTTAATATATCATATTTTCATAGTCCTATTTACACCCTCTCCTAAATCTATTTACTCACAAATTTATGCTTTCCTCTTAGGAAATAATAAGTAGATGGATTTTTTCATGAAAATTTTTTGGGGAAAGATAGTCGTTTAACTGTTAATCTCTGCAGAAGCTACCTTATGCTATGAATCTTTATTATGGAAATTCGAAAAATGTATTGGTAAAAGAACTAACGGATCTTCGAAGAATACCCTTGAAATTCATCAAACCTAAGGTCAGTTATTTTAGTGTGCATTGTAGTTATGAGTTGCAATTGTTAAATCTAATAATAAATCTGCAGATACTACTTCAAGCAATTGCAACAGAATCGGATTGGTCATTGACTTTCACAGTCGAAACAACGATCTAAAAGATAATGCTTAGGTTTTTCTAATCAGTGTTATTTTAAATCTAAAGTATATAAATCAAAACTTCTCAAAACTGTGTTTTTCTTTGAACCTCAGTGACTTATTTCGAAGCAGTCTCATTGATTCCAGTAATCAGCCCTCGTTTTGCATATTTGTTCACACCACTAGACTTATATTGTTTATTTGGAAATGTAAGAAAAATAAGAATTACTGCGCCAATAACCCTATCCAGCACCTTACTACAAAGGCAAGAAATAACTCCGCTAATTAGATCAAACTTTTATAGAAAAGAGTGCTTTGAATTGGCTATCATAAATCTGCAATTTTATTCTTTATCTGTTGGTTTTTGAGAGCCCAAATTTAAGAAAAAGTAAGAAACAACTGAGACATCAAATGATGTTTCTCTGTGATACTTGTTGCTAAAACTATTGCAAGCAGTGATAAGCATTACCATAATCATAATGATTTATCAAAGTTTCCAAGCATTTCGCATCATTAAATCAAAATAAGCATCATTATCAATAGAAGCTGACACACCACAGTAATAATTCAAAAATTCTTCTTTCGTTATCTAAAAATAAAAAATGGAAAAATTAACTGTCATCCAATAATAATCATATATCTTTTTTATAAAGCATAAATTCCTTTTCACCTTGCCTTGTACATAGGTATAACCAAATTTTATCTCGAAAAGATAAGTCTCTTTTTAATAAGACAGCCTCCCTTAAGGGAAGAATCTCTCTCAATAAAAGCCAAGTATTGACACTACTAGTTTATTAGTCCACTTATGACAGAATGCAAAAACCGGGTGGAAATTTCATCGTAATGTGATAATATGAATGTTTACCTTCTCATCAATATGACCTGTCATTTCAAAATTGCTGAGAAACTGATTGAAGATATCTTCACGAGTCTTCTCACCAGATATGTATTTTGGATGTCGTTCAGCATGATAAACCCCTTTCATGTCGTTCACTGTAATTATACCATCGCCAGTTTTATCCAATTTTTTGAACGCTGCATCGATAAGCGCTAAACGGGCTTTCGACATCGGTGGCTAGAATTTTTCGTCAGCTTTAACCTAGATTTTTAGCCGTTTTCCATTTCTTTAGATTTAGATATTTAATGACAAACTGTGTTATTTTCTCATTTTGAACCTTTTTCCTGCTAACAATTGCTATTTTTTTAATTAAATTATTCCGCATAATCTCCCAACTTTGAAATACTGCAAGAGAGAATATATGACAATAATCATTATCTGCTCTCCGACTGTAAAAGTGTCTGTTTAATATGTCCCAAAACTGATCCAAAGAATACTAATGAAAAGAAAGATAAACAACACACACGCATATTAAAACTGTCAAACACTTTTGATATTGATTTCTAAAGTATAAAAATTCCTTTGTGCCTTTAACAGAGATTTTTTTCTCATAGTAGACATGATTAAAATTGTTGGAAAAGCAATAAGTAATCTCTCTCTCTCTCTCTCTCTCTCTCTCTCGTTGCTTTCAGCTAATTATTGAAGAATTCAGAATTCAATAATCGTACGATGTCTGAAGGCCTCATATGATGACTAAATATCCAGAAAATTCCCAAAGCTTTGAAATCAAACTTAACGTACCCTAATCGTCAAGAGAAATTCATCGAAATCGATGGAACCAGAACTGTCTTTATCAAATTTCTTGAATATCTCCTTAATTTCCTCATCAGTTGAATTTACACCAAAGTCATGCAAACCTTTCTGGAATTCATCAAGATCAAGCGTACGACTGCCATTATCATCCATAATTCGGAATGATCTGAAGATTTTCTTTAAAAATTCAAATTTCGAAGTTACTTTAACATTTTGTCAATCGGTCAGTTGATTAATCATTGGTCAGTATCCCGTGAAGGCGAATAATACAAACGTATCCACTACACAGACCTAATAAAGAAGAGAAATCCAGCGAAATCGATGGAATCACAAAGCACCATAAATTATTTTATACTGGAATAGCACTAAATAAGCAAAATGATTGGTAAACCGGTGTTGAGAAAAATGAGGACATATTCATGTATGTTGACACTATTCATTTTGACTTCAAATTTCATCTTTGCGATCGCACCACTAGAATTTGATTTTTTTAATATTGTCAAGTTCTATTATGAAATCTCTGAAACTTTTCCTCAACACAGTTTACTATTTGGATTTCTTCCCTCATTAAGCGAGGAGAATTTGCTTGTTAATGAGCATTGAGGATAGCGGTAAGTACGATAACCACTGAAAATTCCCAAAGAATTGGAGAAAAAAGTATGCATTATTGCATTAAGAATTTTATATTCATCTTAAAGATTAGGCATAAAATTTATGCGCAATACAGAGGAAAATCCATACAATGTTCTTTCGATTTAATACTACTAATGTGATAAAAATAAGTAATTTTATAAGTGATAGGCTTACAAAAGCCATAAGGTGCGTTGTGCATATTTTGTATAAAATGAAACTTAGATTCGAAGTTAAGTATAAGGTCAGACTTCAGTTCATGTAGAACTCACATTTAGTAACTTTAAAAGAAGGAACTTTTTTCTCAAATACGTTGAAAAACCTTATGTATTATGAGCGATTTTACAATTAATGAACAAACCGTCCCAAAGATTTTATTCCAGCATTTCCACGTACTAAGCATTGCAGCCTCAGCCGTTCCACAGGATCCTTGGCTATTTGCAGCTCTTTTAAAGCTTTCATTTTAAGTTCTTCTTCACTCATTGTCCCGGCGCGAATATTCACCACTGAATTACCTAAAGTATTTAATTTTTTGATTCCAAATAATTCAAATGAAACAGTTATTTGCAGTACAAAACTATGTTAGTTATGATATAATGCAAGAGAAAAAAGCCAGATAAGAAGTAACTAAAAAGCACCAACAGAATGAAGAGACGATTGAGTAACGATACAAGAAATGCGACGTGATTACGATGATTTCACGTTTTCACATTGAATGTCGATTGTATCATAAAGATACATATTGTTCTGCACTATTATCAAAATTTTCAGTTAACTTTCAAAAGTAACCTTAGTATAACATAAAATCTACATAGATTACACTTGTTGATTTCACGATCCATAAAATGAGGATTATATCCTCAGCTAATGAGAACTTATAAACAAGAAATCATGTTATGGCTAATTAATTAAACTCTTTCAAAACAAATCTTATTTAGACTTATGTCGATTTCCATTAACTGTATGCTCTTTTTTAAGTCATCTTAGTTATACTTTCTCAATTTTGTTAAAGAAGTAATCAATAAATCAATTTGTCAAATTATCGAGAAAGTATAATAAAAATTAGCTGAAAGTGGTATGTTAGATTCCAAATTTAGAATGCATTTGAAAAGATGCAGAAGCAGACTAGATAGCAGAATTTGTTTGTAGAAATCGCATAGATTGCAGCAAACAAAAGATAAATAAACTCTTTCATTTAATACTTACAATCTTATGCACAATTCTCTTTCAATTAACTAAGTAAGAGGTCATATTTTTCCTCCATAGTTACAGTAACACTTCGATCTCTTTCCACAATATCTAGCATTTTCCTTTTTTTCATTGAAATAAAAGAGAAACAGGACAACATTGCTTGCCAACTCAGTAATTATAAACTTAAAATCAGATACTCTTATGATTTATGAAGTTTTAAAACAATCCCAGTAAGTAATACCTGTAATAAACTGAAAACATGCGGAGTTATTCATACGGCTCATCGCTTAACCGTTCAGAATGTCAACCACTTTGCCACTTTATTCAGAATAGGATTAGCTTGGAAGAAATTACCATCGATTTCGCCGTAGACTCTATAGAACTAGCAGAGAATGGGCATGGCCCTCCAGTAAAAGCCAAGCTTGTAATATTTGAGCCTAGACGCATCCTTTCCCAAATGCAAATGCTAAACTCCTCCAGTGTATTTTATAGGGATCTGCTTGAAATAAAATGTGATTCTTCGATCTGATTCTCCCTATTCTTCTCCCTTCTCGGACAATTAACAATCCTCAATTCTTATTAGAAAATTAGAAATTTTCAATTTCCACATTTGCCAATTTTTGCTAGTCACTTATTTTTTGTTATAACACTTTGCAAAATTAAATGATTACTCTTCAGACGAAAACAAATCTTTTAACCACTCATTCAAGACAGCAAATTTTAATTGCTTCTAGTAATTAAAATTTTTTTGTCTCGATAAGTGTTTGAAAATTTCGAAGTAGTGCTCTTTTCACATGATTGATCAGAAAATAAGTGTTATGCTTTGTCTTCTGATTTAGATAAAACCAGTGTGATTATTAATGATAAAGAATTTTGCCTAATCCAAACTAGTTTCGGGCTTGTCTAACCAGAATTAATGAATTTTTGAACATGTGTCGGCACTTCTTAATTCTTAAAGGCATTAGCCTAGTTTTTTAATAGAAGGATGAAACTAAAGTTTCATATCCAAACGAAAGACTTGTTCTAACTAAGCAAGTCTTCCTAGAAATCTCCTTATCATCTCGTCACATAAAATCTCGACATGCCAGCACTATCAAGAAGACACCATACTTTTTTCTCAAAGTAAAGGGCAATTTTCATTTTTAATTCAATATATTTTTATGTTACTCTTATTTCTACTACTCAGGAATGAATTAAACTGTTTCATTACATTATTTATTTTTTTGTTATTGCTTTTTCCAACTTTTTTACAATGGTTCAGGTGAAATAATAAGTCATATCTGAATATTATTCCAATTCAAAATAGTCAGAACGAACTTGAATTCCTGAATTCTAGCACAAACTTTACACATTTCTACAAAAAAAATAAAAAATAAAAACTGTTTATAGAAGGAAGGAGGAAATAATTTTTAAAAATAAGTGAAAAAGAAACTAAGGTTGCTGAAGTTATGTAGAATAATTGAAGTGAGTAATTCGAAAATTTGACTAAAAGTATTCAGAATGGATGAGATGTCATTTATTGCTATAGCAACGAAATGAACTGCATTTATTTCTTCTATATGGTCATCAATATCTCAATGATAACTGTTTTTTGATGCAATTTCTTCTTTTACATTAGTTTCATCGCGCAGGTAGTATTCCATTAATTAATTACCACTGCAAAAAACTGTTGTTCAACACAATCAGCGAATTCGAAAAAAAAAAAAAAAGATTACAACTGACAAAATGTAGCAGAATAGACTGACTATATAGTGATAGTACTGCTTTTACGCTTACATATGTCCTCAAAGTAACAGAAGGACAACACTAAGAAAGCAGCGCAATTAAAATCGAAACATTACTCTTCGTAACAAGTTCAAGAAAAACTGAAAGCCAATGCTTAACGTGTAACCATATCATTCGAAGGAATTCAGGACGTAACCATACCTCTCGGAGAATTTCAGGACAATTTAGATTTAAATCCCTGCAGTAAATCCAATTTTTATAGCCAACATTTAGAGCCAAATTCGGGAAGAAAAGGAAGGAATAAGCTTATGAAAAAAATGTGGTATATGGGAAGTATGATGGTAACGAGAACATAACGCATTCATTCAGTTAATAACTAATCCCACCTTTCTGTATCTTCATTACGAGCATTAAGATGTTGTAGTAGTCTAAGATGACTCATGCGTTGATGGAATGTACGAGACCAGTTTATTGAAAACAAGAAATCATTGTTAAAATGACAGTACAAAGCTGTTCTTAATCATTTAGCATGAAATATATATTAGAAACTACAACATCGAACAACTGAATTCAAGATAATTTTTTAAAAATATTTTGGTTACGGACCGTATACAAAAAATATTGTATACAAAAAGCATTCATATCAAATATTTCAATCGTATCAACCAAGATGAACAACTACATTGAATAATACTATTTCCTGCATTTCATCCACTCTTCTTTGCGAAAAACGATAAGGCAAAGCAAGCACGAAGATCAAGAGGACAGCAAACTGGGAATTTATCGAAGCCTTACTCTGCTAAGTTATCAGAAACAAAAAAGTTTGCAACAAATTAGAGAAAGACAAACACCGATGGCAACGTATTAAGAATTCCACATTCCAACATTCCAACAGTTATTGGTCGATATGCCAAAGGATTTAAAAACAATTGCGCTGGAAATAGACATGGAATTCTTGATTATATTTGGACCTTCTTTTATCCACAAAGGAAACTTAACTTTAAGAGTAAATACAGCATTTACTCTTTTTCATCAAATGAATTTCGAATAAAGCAAATCATAAAACTAAGAAAGAAGACAAAAGCACACCCGCAGTACAGGTTCTTATAAACTTACAATTCATGAAAAAAATTATTAGGAAAAATTCCTGAATTAATTGAAGGAAACTTTATAAAAAACAGAAGTCTAAAGTTTCCAAGTCGTAAAGGTAAACAGGAAAGCGAATATGGGGAAACTTAACAAACCGAAAAAAATTCAACAGTATAAAAACAGGAATCGAACGAGAACCTACCAAAAGATACCAAATTGAAAAAAAATGCTTGGAAAACAAGCGAAATCTTAAGATTTATATATATATATATATATTAAAACTAGTGCAAAGCGATAAAGAATAACAAGAATAATCATGAACCTAACCTTGTAAAGCGACCTAGAAGTAGTACGCAAGCCCGATATACATATATAAAAAAGAAAAAAAAAAACAAAATTCAACTCTTCTCAGATATAATTCTTTATTTTAACTTTGTGGAGTAACATTCCCACACAATTTTCACCAAATGTCATTTTCTTCTATTCTTTTCTACAAAATGATGAAAAATGTACAGAATGAAATCGCGGTATATGCGTAGATTTTAACATTCAAAATAAGTGATAAAAGCATTAAATCAAATCAATTTGTTACATATAAAGTCGAATTAAATCACGAATCTGAGCGTATACTTGTCGTAAATCCGCAGACCTAAAAGAATCAAAAATTTGACATTATTGTTCTGAGATGAAGTAAGTACAGTGTGAGTTAAAAAGATTTTAAGATAGAATATCTTAAAGGCAATCATCGGAAGTCAAACAGTTAAAAAGTTAAGGGAATCAATTTATTTTGGACTGCATTAAATTAAATAGAATTTAACAACTTACTCCAGCACATTTTTGTGAAACCATTCTAGTTGTTCTACCGTTGCACAAAGACCCTCATTGTGAGGAAACTTCTCCAACGTTGCTTCCAACCAAACAGATAACTGCTGAAATTTGTTACATTCTTCAAAGCTATCGTCAATTTCAGAAAAATGATTACTTCCGGAGCATTTGGATCTTTTTATAGCCACTTTTCATGATCCATTTATAATAATAAAACCTTCATATCCTCACTAATGTTAATAGTGTGTGTATATCTTCTTGAATTATTTAATATGACCTTTAGAAATGCTTAACAATAGATACCTCTTTCGATAGTTTACCAATTAAATAGATAATTTCAGCCATATCCCGCTTTAAAGTACCCGAAACGCTGAATACTGCCGCTTGAAGAGACCCGCTAATCAGTCTCTCGCCGTATTTTAAAAATAGTTGTTCAGCTCCTTCTACACCTGCATCCCGATAATTGGACTGCAATATTATATTATTCAACATTCAACTCTAAAACCCAGTTCATTTAAGTTGTTTTTAATCCGTTTATAAACAACTGACTCAATAAAATTAATAGACTCAACCAATGAAATTTTCGTCTGCATATAAGAAGCGAAGAGATAGCCTTCGCCACCTTGTTCCTCTATATTTTTCTCACAATTTTTGAATTTTGAAAAACTTAAACCTCATCGTACCTTTCTCGCGATGAGTAACGATGTAATACATTCGGAAAAAAATTTGGTTACTGATCTATTTGCATCAACGTGATCAACACCTAAACCAACCAGTCCACATTCAAACAACTGTGCACTCATTGGTTCTTGGAAAAATACTGACGGCGCACGCTGCACGAATCTAAAACAAAACTTTAAATTGTGTGTTAATTGTTGCTTTCTTTAAACATATCTTACACTTAGTGGTTAAGATTGGAGTACGATCAAATAATCACCTGATAGCCAATCTAAACATATCATCGATTGTATCAGGATGATTGCGAAAACCATTTTGTTCCTGCAGTAGCTTAAACGAATCGTTGCATAAAATCTGTAAAAACAAGCAGAAAAATTTAAAAAATAACATATTCCGCCTTTTTAGAACCAAATCTTTTGTAAATTAACATACTTTATTATAGATACAAACAACGTAATTCTTCAATAAAAATTCATCAATCGTAAAAAGTTTACGTTAAGCATATGAACTAATCCGGAGCGACAGTTATCCAAATGACCGTATTCATCAACCAAAATACTGGCCAAATACAGGAAGCATGAATGAGGATGACGATTATATATATCAACCATCTAGAAGTTATACTGCACGTTATAACAGAGAGACGACAGTTATCCAAATGACCTTAATTTTTTTATTTTTCGCAAACTATGTTTGAAACTAAAAAATAGATATGTCATCAACGCAACTGAACAACAAATATCTATTTTTTTTTTTTTTTTTTATAAATCTGATTTTTCAAATAGTGAACCTGCTCAACAAGGGATTCAATAAAAATAATTGAATGGACTTCCAAAAAGCGTATCATAAATCGTATCGCACGGCAACAATGTTCAACGACTCGAGTATTTTTTTCATATTTTCTGCAAGTTTCTAAAACAAACGGCCAAACTTCTTTCACAGTTGCAATCCATAGTGTTGGAACATTATCATTTGTATTTGTGGAACTTCCTGAATGAAAATAAATTAAATTAGGTCAAATTAACGAGCAAAAGTTACCAATAAATTTATAATGCATATAATTTTGGAAAAAAACATGGCAATAAATACCGTTCTGCACGGTATTCTTCGGATTGCATGCTTGATGCGTCCACGGTTGAACATGTCGGAAGACTGCAGCTATTCTATCGACCCATAAAACCGGATCACGACTCAAAAGATACCATGAATCTGATGCATTCTCGTTACTGTCTTGTGGTTCGTTAGGTGATATATCCACCTTTGATTTAAGAAGCTAAAACAAAATAATTGAATGAGAAACAATGTAATAAGTAAAATGTTCAAATAAAATTTAGTGCATGAAAATTTTCAAAAAATATAGTTTGGATGGAAATAAAAATTTTGAGAATAAAATCTACTTCAGCCAAATTTGTCGTCTGCGGCTCAATTAACCGCCTTAACCGGGTTGCAGTTTCTTCTCCTGGTAAACCATTCAGCATTGAAGAACAAGCTAAAAAGATTAATAATAAATTTCACTGTCAATCATTCACAAACAATTTCTGGATAATAATTTTTGCATTAAATTAGTCCAATCTATGGCTCTTAATTGATAAATTTTAAAAACCTTCTCTACCAAAATCAACAGCTTTAAAAACGAAGTAAGAAATGACCAAGGTTATTGTTTCGGTAATATAAATAAGCTTAAAATCAGACAAAGCAAATGTTCAATACAGCAACAATAAGCACACTTTTAAGTTAAAAAATTCAAGAGATTAACTTTTGATCCTTTTTATGACGCAATATAAAGCAAGGCTTGGAACTGAGGATAAAAAATATTTTATGTGAAACTTCAATCATAAATAAATAAAATAAAAAATATAGAAACTATGTATATAAAAAAATAAAAACTATAAGTAAAAAACAAGAATTATTCAAAGTAAATATGAGAAAGTGAACCCTGAAGAAGTAGGAGGATGGAATTTTCCAGCTGTTGTCCTTTGTTTTCGCCATTTTCCAGAAATGGAATGATGGCAAATATAGAATCAAAGTGCTCCAAACAATTACTCTCGCACTTTTCACAGATCCCGTAAAGAGATTCGGAAGCGGCTCGAACGAAGCACGGCTTTTGTACTTTATCCAGTAACCAAGTAATGCATGGTTCTAAATGAAATCCTTCTAAAACTTAGATCATAGAAAACTGCAAAATCAGTTAAATAACGCAAAGCCATATTCCAAATATTAGATTAAAACAAATGACAAACCTTGATATTGCTTATTTTCGTGTAACCAATCAATTAAATTTCCAAGTAATTTAATAGAGGTATTAGTCAGTATCGGATGAGATGTAACGGGCATAACCAGTACAGCATGAACCAAAAGAGGAACCACTGTTTCTTCGGTCCTGAAAAAGAATAAACCAATGGGTCAAGATAAGACAAAGACCTTAAGTGAAAAACAGCAGCAATAACAACTGGACACCTGAGTAACGAAAAAGAACACTTACGGAAGAACGTTATGTACGATCACTGAAATAATATACAAAGCAGCTTCCGATTCGTCCCAAGAACCTGATGAAACCGATTGCAGTATTGAGAACATCTACAAAACACTGCGGCGAATTCATAGTCAAAATTAAACCAATTCAGTAATCTTCAGTTTCTTTCGAAAAAATCCCTCGATTACTCCTAAACTAACAAATTAAGTTAATCAGTAACTGTATCAGATTTTCCTTAATATATTTGTGGAAGTAACTGAATCTGATTCAATTGTTACCCTTCTCTCTAACAATTCTTCTGAAAATATACCATTCAACTCATATTTTATAAAGCAGAGAATGATAACATACTCTGATATCTTAACATAAAATTTCTATAATGTGTAAAAATACATACGCTTTGGATGCACCGATCAGTTCCAACGATGAAAACAACATCCTTGAGTGTGTCGGAAACTTGACCTCGAAACTCAACAAAATCATCGTTCTCGTCCGGAACATCTTCCTGATCAGTGTCAAACCGACAGTGCTTATAGAGTGCCATGATATACCTTAATTAAAAATATGAAGATATGAATATTTCTCTTTACCAAAGGAACGATATAAAAGGATGTGAACAACAGCATCTAAATATGAAACGATTGACTACTGTATCCATTATTTTTCTAAATTTACTGCATCAAATTTCATACAGACCTATCTATTTCTTTCAGATCATAAGAAGCAACGTAAACTATCTAACCGTTCGATGTATGGCTTGAACTGAGTGTTCAAATCATCATCGTTCCTTTCATACAGATATTCAGAAAGACGGTACCAAATGTTGAATGTCATTTCCACTAGCTAAACAAAATTTTAATAAAAATTATACTGTAAAACATAAAAACTTCATTCCAAATTTCTGAAATTAAATAAGGAATCATGACTAACATTATAATCATGATAGCCTGCTAGAAGAAGGAGCATTTCGATGCTTCGAAAATCACCAAGATGTTGTCCTGGCTCTTGGATCATACATTCTAGGAGTGATTCACTTAATTCACAAAACACTCGAGCATATCCTTGTAATCTGCAGATTCAAATTTTATACACTATCGTCGTTTGCTAAAAGCATGATTTTTCATTTCCAATAAAGAACTTTTAGTTTATATAGTCACCAAAATGTTCATTCAAATTCTGGACTAATAGTTCTTTAAATTTTTACAATTTATATAGTATAAACCTATCAAAATCATCGTTCGCGACAGCCATTGAAAAGCTATCCGCCATCCCATAGCATGCAGTTTGCAGAGCCACGGCTAAAGCACGATTAACATTGGTATCTTCAGCACGATATAACGCTGATACAATACATTCACAAGCCGAATCATGTAATGAACTGGGTGAATTTGGATTCTGCTGCAAATAAGTTCAGAAATATATGTATTCCAAAAGTTAATTGACTACTAACTACTTCTCTTTTCTTTTTTTTCTCGTCAGAAAATATAATCATTTGTCAATTTGTTTTGCTTTCTCAAATGAAATAAATGAAAGCTAATTTTTTGAATTTCTTTGATAATTGAAAATTTAAACACATAAAAGCATATTGGAAATATAAAAATGGTACGAAAATTCAAACCAAAAGTGAGAAAACATATTTGAGCAGTTCGCTTGCTGCAATATCATCAGTTGGAATTAGCGGATTTAGCAACCAGGAGCTGAAGCAGCTCAGAACTCTTTTCAGTATCGCATCGTCATTACTATTAAAAACACAAACTTGACTCTGCAAAAGGACTTATTGAAAATAATACTGTAAAAATATATCCTGATAAGTTGCGAAAGCTGGAAAAAAAATTATGCAACATATTTTTAAAAAAGATTAATATCCATTTGGTCAAGCTTGAAGAAATTCGTAATAAGAACTCACTAAAAAATGAATAACTGCTTGTGTCTTCTGTGCTAGTTCTGTGTTTACTGCACGGCGCCGATTCTCACCAATCCTTAGATGTGAGCTTTGTACCTCTTCTGGCAGGGTTTTCAAAAAAGTAAGTAAAACAGGAGTTTTATCAGGTGTTCCGAACCTGCAAGCAGATCATTAAAAATAGACAAAAGAGGTGCTTCTGGAAAGGACAACTTATAGAAATGAATTTCCAACTTATCCGGCATGAAAGTCATAAGAAATTATGTTCTTAATACTTGTGAAGTGAGACGTTTTCAGATGAACACTCAACGTGTTGTATTAACAAAAGAAAATATAGCCATTTCCAAGAATGAAATCCAGACAGAGACAATAAAAAAACCTCTCAAGAATTTCTGCAACGAAATTAGTCCATTCCGGCACTTGTAAATAAAGATCAGAAAGCGCCAAACAAAGCTGAGTTATGATTACCGAATTCCTTTCAAGTGGATAAGACTCGTAATTCCTGAAACAGATGTCAATCATCGTAAATAGGAGAATTTGTCAGGCAAAAGAGTATTCAGTTTTGATTTCGAAAAACTATCATCATGAACGACATACGACAAAAAAATTTCATAATACAAAGATTCAATGATTTCAACTGCAACTTTGTAATGCAACAACTGATCAAGTGGCGAAAATGATACCCAGTAAAAGTCATTGGCGAAAATTGAAAATCACAAAACAAACAAATCAAATCTGCTCCTTGAATTACTAAAATGTAATTCAAACAAGTATACTAATGACGAAATAAGGACCTCAAATGATTAATTAACGAATCCCTCAAAGACAAATGTGAAGAAGACGGTAATTCCTTTATAGAATGCAACAATTTCTGCCTCATTGTTTGAGCAGCGAAGTAACTGGCTGTCGAATCTCGATGTTCAGATAATATACGATCACAAATGGACCATGAATACACCTGCAACAACTTCCAAATCAAATTCATTTTATATTCCACAAAAGTTTGTGCATACTTTGTATAACCCTTTCAAGAAAACTTACGGATTTTTGAAATTCTCCAAGCCAGATGCTAGCTTTGCTGCATGCAATACTATCAGACCCATTTAATACCGCAATTGCATGATATACCGTCTCGATATTATCCATCCTTCAATGACTTCAACTAAGAATAAATATTCCTCATTTGAGAGTTACCACTGACCCCAATTTTAGAGTAGATGTAGCATAATTTTCAAGGAAGACTTTTTAAACAGAATGGAATGGCAAGACTTCATAACATATTAACTTCGAAATAAAGTAATGAGTAAGGGTAAACAAACCTAAATTAAATAAAATCAGGTAAAAAAGGCGTTAAAAAGATTTATTCGAGCTTCTTATGTTAGTAACTGAATAGAAAAATGATGAGAATGACCGAATGAGTGAACGTGAAACATTACAATAACGATGATGATACCGCCTATGCATTAATTAGTGAAATTTTACTTCATTTGAAGATACTTCTTGAAATAACCGTTACGGATTCTTTGTAATATGCACTCTAAACATGACTAGTTCAGCTAACATTTTCTTTTCCATTAACCGGTTCTTATTGCGCTTCGTTTTGTATGCGTAACAAAACATCGTAAGATGGGTGAAGCAAAATTCCAAAAGTTTTAAGAAAACATAGTACATGCCAAATCCCGGAATTTAAATCACTAGAAACAAGTGAAGACTTGGAATAAAACCTCAAAAACCCTTTCTTAGATTATGCATAGATTATAAACTATAAATCTAAGCTTGATTACTACCATCCCACAATCAACCGGCACTTCTAATGGTATGAATCACTACTCATGATTTTACATTTCTAAAAATGAGATTCCGAGGACTCTGGAACGTTCTCCCACATTTCCCGCGATATGACACATTAGAAATCAAAATAAATACAACTGCACCAAGCTACTGCCAATAACAGCGTAGAGAAGATTGACCAGTCTAAAAAGCAATTAAACACATTATAAATTCCATGCTTTATTTATAAAAAAAAAAAAAATTAAAAACGTACGATAGAATGAAACAACGCATTAAACATCTAAAATACATAAATCACCGCAATTAAGATGATGTTAATTCTGGATGATAGAATATTTAATACAGTGTCGATACAGTTCTAAGTAGTTTTAAACTAAGAACTTCAGATGTGAATTTTTCTGAAAGCATAGTAGTCTATGAAAATTGATCAAATGCACTAAACATAAGCAGGAGGATAGAAAAAAAAAAAAGTATTTGAAAAATATGGTGGAAAAAACTGTTCGCACTGAGAGAAACAAAACAGGACGCAAGGAGCTTCAAAAACAAAATAGAAATATAGTAGAAAAACCACTAAGCTCAAAATATGGCAATAATGGTCTATATTTTTAAAATTCTAACTTTTAAATTTCAATACGGAAAAGGTAATTTTATCAGCACAACATCGATTATCCAAACATAACTGCTAATTTCCAAAAGTGACAAGTCCATGAATCGAAACCACATGAAAAACAAATGCAAAACGTTTTACAATTATGTACTCTAATCTATAACGTCTGAAAAAACTGATAAAATTAAAAATTTTCCTCATAGAATTCCATTAATGAGCTTAAACTACACTGATACTTCACACAAGTTAAAGCTTCAAAATAAAAATAAGTCAATTCTGGAGTCAAATAAAGCACGCATGCAGCATGTTTCCGGCGTAAATCCACCCGCATACCTACTCCCACTGATTTGTAATACATGCTGCAAATATCCCATTCGAGACAAATCCTCGGGTTTTGGAAGTGATGGTCCATTGATGGGAAGCTCCGGCCCACGATACACGAACGGTGCACCACTTATACGAATTAGTGCAAAAGATGCAGTATCGAGACGTTTTTGTTGAGCTTCTGTAATTAGAATGACTTCTACAATTAAAGAACATATGAAAAAATGAAAACAGCTTTCAAGTTAAAGAAATTACCAAAAGAATAACTTATTTATATTCAAAGAATTATTCAGGGAATACAGAGCTCTATATAAATAATACTTAATCTCTGTGTAATCTTAAAGTGATACTTAATTCCTTACCCATTTTAGATTTCTTTCGCTTTACAGCTTCTTCCTTTTCTGCGAGTTCTGCTTCAATCTGTCGCTTTCTCTGACGATCCAAAATGACTTCTGCAGGCAAATCAGATTCACGGAGTTCGTCAATTATTGCCTTAGCTTTGTCTGAACTAGTCACTTTCTCAGGCAACTCCTGAAAATTTTGCACAACTAATCAATTGGAAAGATTGTGAAACATCTAGTACTAATCGAAGAAAAGTACTCACTTTTTTCCCGGCTCCTTCTACAACATACTTTTTTCTTTTTTGCTCTTCTTCCAACATTTGAAAAATCCATATTTGATCTTCATCAAGCTAAAAAAACTTTTTTACTTGATCCTGAGATTTAGAAATGGCAAATCAAATAATCTAGGAATAACCGCTAAAGTAGATCCTTTCTAGAACATTATCGATCACTTAGTATGACGCGCATTTCTTACTAATTCATTCTGTAGATACAGTCACAAGTCTATTTACCTTGCGCTTATTTCTTTCAATAAGTTCACTGTTCTCTGATTTAAAACGGTTAACTTCAGCTTCGGTCTCCTCAACATCAATATTATAGGTCAAATTCATGACAATTGTTTCAATCCGTTCCAAATAATTGTTGAAGTCGCGCAACGTTGGAAAATCCATTCGTTTCAAATTGTAAATCTAAATATGGCTGCTTAAACGACACACAGAGGACTTGACAAAATTCTCATGAAATGGTAATCATAGTGTCATTTTCATGAACTTCCAACTTCTCCACTAAACCAACAAAATATGATATAATCTTACCTTTCCAAGTTTTTTACGAATATGATTTTCTTTCTCCACCACAGGGTCATCAAAGATTTGTTCCCAGAATCCTTTCTTCCACAAAATTTTTCCACACTGTGGACAGGGACCGCTGTTGCGAGCAAACAGATTTTCTACACAGTTCCTAGAACTGCCAAATGTAAAGGATCTCATCGCGCTCCATACATGTGATTAACTCTAAAATATTTCTCATTTAACTGTTTGGACTGACTTGCCTGCATAATGGATGACCACACTCATTAATCATCATCAACATCGTTCGGTTATTGTATTCCTTAGCTTTACATTTTGGACATTCGCGCATTCTACACCTTCACAGTGATTCTCTTACTAAGTCAATGAGCGGATTCTTTATCACGACTTTTTCCCTCCACCACAAGTTTCGAAACAGGATAACTCTGGTATAAAGTGGATTGACGCCGAATTACTTGCAGCAGCTCTTGACACTTCTGAAAAAGAACATGTTCCAATGCTTGAGTTCTTACCATTATCAAATGACTCAACTAATTTCTGCTAAAAATATTGAAACCATATAATCACATCTGATGAAGAGAGATTACAGTGCCAGATCTTCGTATGCCTCCTGTGATCACACTAGTTTCAATCCGATGGTTATTTAATATCCAGGAATGAGTGGATTGTTTGGTAAACTATGTAACCAATAAAGTTTGAAATAACAATACCGTGTAAAATTCGGCTTTTGAGATGTTGTTGTTTTTCACTGCTATCGTGAAGTGGTCGCGTATTCTTCGTTTGAAAAACTCTCGATAATTATATTGCGGAAACTGAAAAGCAAACAGGATAATCAGCTATGAATAGATATACACAGAAAAGTAAACTTCTGAAGTTTCGACTTGAAAAAAATCTCCTTATGGGATAGGATGCGTAAGTTCCAGTTGGCAAAGACATCACCTTTACTGCGATAATGTATGAGATGGACCATACCTGTGAGGCCGACCTCAGTAGCTGTTTATAAAGACAGATCCAATCGGCCTGCGGCACACTTCCCATCCGATTCGATCACGTAACCCTTGAATGAATTCCTAAATATGAAAACGTCTCCTTCCTCTTCGTCTCTCCCCTTTCAACCTACACTGCCACTCTTTCGTACTCTCCTCATTTCAACATTCTCCTCTCCTCTTCCTTTCTTTTCGTCATCATATAATCAAGCCATTTCTTTGCCTCTCACATTATTTTTGTTTCCTATCCTCCCACCCTACACATTATCTATTAGCCATCAGTTTCATTGATCTTTGTTACTCTCCTCAAACACACTCTTTTTCTCCACCGTAAAGCAATTCCATACTTCACCACATCCAATCGCTGTTGGACCCGTTTTATCTGCTACAGCACAACAACAATTTAAATGACTCGGAAGTTTTATTTGGGTTGCTGAGTTTCTCGAGAATTTGATTGGATTGTTGAGTAGAGAAGACTCTTTAAAATATTCCAAAGCAATAATAAGTAAATAAGGTGAATGCAGGCTGTATCTGCTTTAACCCTTCTCGTAAGTTATTTGTAATGAATTGAATTAGAGGAAAAACTTCATAATCCAATTTAATTCGTTCATTTCTGTAAGCGCCTTTTATTCTTCCATATTTCAAATGCTATAGCTTTATCAGGACTGAGGATCAGGCTGATAGGAAACTCCAAACAATCGTAATTTTTTTTTTGTGCAATTTAGGGTTAAGGAAATGCGTTGGAATTCCATCTCTCTCCAACACTGAAATCAAATCAGGAAATGATTCGTTGTTGCTAATACTAGAATCTTATCCCTTCTCGACTAACACTTCAAAATGGCTATTTCCTGATTTTCATATCAACACTTTAGATTAGTACTTATCAAACTTATTCACCTTTCTAATTTGTTTGGCATACCACAGAATGACGAACGTCGATCAATTCTTTTGTGCTTTTCCTTGTACTGAGATCAGCTTCCATAATTGATCGTAATCATTTATTAGCAGTTTCGAATAGCTTATCAAGATTCTGCTCTTCTCAAAACTTTTTGAAGCACTGCTGTTTCACGTGTATTAGCAGTTTTTTGGTGAAATATGCTGTAAACATTGTATGTTATCTTTCATATCTACGGCCTATTTAAAAAAATTGAATAAATTTGTATTCTTAATAAGTGGAAATTAGCAATCATTAGTTGAAATCATAACTTGCCTCAATATGGAAGAACAAATTTCAACAGTGCGGAAGCGTAAGGTCTTTCCACTAATCATGAAAACCACTAAATCTGATCGAAGATCGTTTCTTCAACTGGAGAAATTTTCTTTGGAAACAACTGAATTATGAACAACGTTGACCAGGAAAACTTATGAGTCGACCAAAAAATATGGAGTAAACTTTTTTTGAGTAAACATAATATTAAATGCCAACTTCTGGTCGATTATGGAGCCATATGTTGAACAAAAATAAGGAGATTCCTCTATATGAGCACCGCCTCTTAAAGTTGAAAGAATTATGTGCTTTTAGCTGAGTAAAATTTATATTTTTTGAAGCTTTTTTACAAAATTTCCAATTCAATGTTTGTCCTCTAGCCGAAGTACTCAAGCAAGCGCTGCTGTCCACTTGCGAATACAAAGCTTTAGTTTTCAAAATTTTCTGATTCAAATTTTAGTAGGTATTTTTTTAATTGATTGGTACTTATATAAACAATATGCCATTAATCCTGTCATAATCAACTCCCTTTTACTCTGCACATAAAAAAATTCTAAAGCACTTTATTTTCGAATAAAACTGAATAAATAAGGATTTTTCTGCGAACAAACGAGGATGAATTTAATATTTCAAAAGTTTTGGAATGCGTTCGATATTTGAAGAAGAAAAGAATATCAAGGACCAATAGGTTGTTTCTTACGCTGCTGAAACGAATAGTAACATTAAAGTATTTCTACAAATGAAAAACATAATCTATCATTAATAAACAAGTCGAACTACAACTGGGTATTTTCGAGCAAATTACAGACACAAATTCAACAATTATGTACAAAGATGTCAATGTTATATGCAAAAGAATTGACTTATATAAAAATGAGACCAAGGAAGGTGCAAGCAAAATAATAACAATCTGTGGTAAATAGGTCAGAACTGATTATAGATAACGAATGGAACAAATGCAAAAGACAACAAAATGCATAAGGCAGATATTAAATATGTATATATACATATATGTAAGATCTAACATATACTAAAGCTTTGTGCAGAAACTATTGACTTACAAAGTAGCTTTTTTAATAGAATTTAAACAAATGTATCAGTTCAGCAGCAGGCTTTAACCCAAACATCGCTAGACATTTTCCAAATCCAGTTTATCATTTGCGGAAGAAAAATGAAAGGGAAGTCGAAAATTCATAATTGCATTAAAATATTAAGCAGGAAATGTTTCAGAAATGCCAAATTTTCATCCACACATAATTTTTTAAAACAAGGGAAAAGTTATCGAAAATACCAACATCTCAAAAAAATGATTCCCTATAACACTCGAAAATGCTGAGAATTAGAACCAAAACAAAAGTATTATAAAAAAAAAACGACGTATATCAAAGACACAGAAATTATGCTAAAAATCAGAACCAGGGATGCAAACGTGGGTCTAAACGTGCTAAATTTTCGTCTTTGCGTGCCGTTTGAGTTAACTGAGCAACATATTCAGCTAAGCTTTCTTTTTTATACAAATCTGAAAGATTTTTTTTCATTCGGAAAATTCTGCTGCACCAAACGAAAGAATTTTATTCATAAAAAAAAATCAGAGTATATTTGTTATTTGAGATGTTACTCTAAAGAGGGTAGAAAGAGACATTCAAATGAAGGCTCTACAAAAAAAAAAAAAAAAAATGAAAGTCCGAGGAAATCAATACAAATTGTTTTTTGTCATGTAAGGGAAGACAAACCATTTAATCTGCTTTCCAATAATTTGCCAGCACTTCGTGCTAGCTTAAAAATTTCTGCCACAGGCAACTTTTTCTGTCGTGACAAAGCATCCCATAGAAAAAGCTGAGCGTAGGTAACAATCTTCCGTGCATATAAACATCGAACTGTTGCAACTATTGAACAGTTATAGTGACCTGAACTTTGCAATAATATAAAGTGTTTACTTTAAACTCAAACGATTAGCCCTTCATAAAATATAAAGTTAACTACTAAAACTATTCTTAAATAATTATAAAGATTAGCTGACTAGTCTAATACTAATTTTTCCTTCACATCACGGCAACCATTAATATAAACCTTCGACAGAGAGACCCAGAAACTTATGCAAATTTGGTGACATCCGGTACGGTACTATTCGATCAACTTCAAGTTCCACTGAAATTTTATATATAGCATTAAGAAAAATAAGAAACAAAAAGCAATATTTATGCATTAATTATACCACAGCACCGTTCACAGAGTAATTCTATTCACCATTCTCGATGCAGTTTATATAAATGTATGAATGAGAACCATTGTTTTAAAAACAAAACATACAAGTTTGATTTAATCCAAATAGATAATCGACATTCATTGCTTGTCCCGTCCTTGTATTCAGACAAAGGCCACTCACTGTTGCCGGATTAAGATGAAGAATATATTCACAAATGGAAAGAACGGACATGTTTAATGCGACCTATACAAATTTTGAACATAATAGAAATAATGTTATCTAAATATTAAAAGGTGTTTCTCATGTAGCGTTTGACAAATATTACGCTTAAAGCTTTACGAACCAAAAAGGTACGACAAAGATTTTAGATAAACCAAAGTATTACGTTTGTCTGTTTGCCCTTTTCATGCTTGTGACAGAAATGTTTACCTAGAAAAGATCAGTGAAGAAAATGGATTAAAAAATGCTTTTAATGGTTGTACATTGGACTCAACTACTTTATAATTTATAATATAACCAAACATTGTTGTAAAGCATCACACTTAGTTACACTGTAAAATTAAACCTGCTTTCGAAGAGTGTAATAGTGAGTAGGATCCTCATAACGAGGGATGATCCATTTCGAAAGTGAATCAATCGGTAATATGCTTCCTGAAGTTATATGACGAAACTCATCAAGCAAAAGCTGATCCGTAATATTGGTGGATTTCGTAGTACGACCAAAAAATCTGCAAATTTAATACTAATCAACATAAACATCAACATACCAGCTTATGCTTGGAAATTAGTTATCACTGATTTCCGTCGTAGGAAACTGTTAATCCAAATAGTAAATAAAGCGCCAAGAAATTGTTTTAGAAAGTTTTAATTTATGTCAGAGAAATCAAAAGTCTAAAGAATTTAAGGTCCAGGCTGATCGCTTTGATGTAAGAAAATGACAAATAGGACTATATAATGAATCTCAACCATAGAGCTGAATATTTCTGTTTGCAGTGATTTCTTAATTTAAATTATAATTCACGGTACAGTGTTTTTTATAATGCATCTTTTTCATCCATACATCTTCAATTTTAAGTTATTTTTGTACATTAATTAATTTTCTTAAAAATTTCACTTGGTCATAGAAAAATTACCTCTCGATCAGTTTAGCTGAAGAAGATGTATCGATTTTGTTTTTTAAAATTGCATTTAAAATTTCTTCAAATGTATAAAGGCAATTAATTTTATTAGTGCATTCCAACAATGACATGCCACCAATGTATGCGAAATGAGGTACTGCTAATTGTAGGAAACGCCGACATGTTTCCTGGAAAAATCATGTTAATAGCTGACTAGTACTGAAATCTTTGTGACTTGTTTACATAGTTGAAAGATGATTTTCAAAAGAAAAGAGTCTGAAAGGAACAAACATAATGAAGATCATAAATAAAGTAATAATAAATTACATAAAACCAAATGTAACACTAAGCAGTAACCAGATTGACATTAGACAAATATGACCTTTTCCTTCGTCAGAAAATGATTGATCAAAGCAAAAAGCTGATGTATCCCAGAAGCATCCCTATTTGTATCATAGTGTTTAGTTAAGTAATAGCAGTACACCTGGAAAAGCACCACGTTGATTCTTCAAATATTAAGAATCAAAGAATGAATAGTTATCTGATTATTTGTCAATTGAAAAAGAGAGATAAGAAGATGAAAATATGAACAACTGCCTCTCTATTCATGTCCAATCGAAACACAACTCATACTGGTAAAATTCTTAATGTCAATCACTGAAGAATATTCATTTAAAATATTAATTTTCTAATCTAAACAAAAAAAAACACACTCTTCCACTCAGTGCACGAACGGAAATACGGCGTGTAATGACATCAGCTCTCCGTATGACGAAGTAATAGGGCATGAAACGATAGATGATTGACGAAAATTCCTTGTTCTAAAAATGAATAAATTAAGAATCGCAAATAAATAATAGTTAAACTATTTATAAATTTTAAGGAAAATACAAAACATAACAATACATCTAAACAAACAACTTAATGCTCACTGAATTCATTTTCACTCTTTTATTCCTCAAAAAAAGTTTTGTAAAAAAAAAGAGACTGGGAAAATACTTTCATAACAGCTGTACCTTTGCTACATAATGTCCACTGAAAATTTCAACATTTGCAACTTTAGATGAATAAGATGCTAGAATCTGACTAACGTTTCGTACCAACTTTTTACTGAAAACAAAAATTATAAAAGGATTGTATATTCCCAAACCCATCTCTCATCCATACCGCTATTTATACCAGTTACAAACACTAAATAATATTTGAAGATACTCTACTTTAATACTAAAATAACATTTTCTTCTTTTTTTGGAACACATTATAATCTTTTCCCACTTTCTAGAAAAATCGGCTTCATATTGGCTGATCAATCAATTTTTTTGTTTTTCGATTAGTTTTTTTAGAGAATTTATTTCGTTGCATTTATTTCGTTTATTACTGAAGACAAGAAGGGCGATTTTAAAGTTAAATATTAAGTAACCTAGGCAATTTATCGAATTTTGCGGCTAACAGTAATGACCATTTCACAGCTATACTCAGTAAATCTGTCAACTTGTCACTCTTTCCTTTTTGGATATCGAAATCAGATTCAAGGTCTTGCGCACATTTTTTTATGTCCTGAAAGAAAAACAAACCAATATAGTTTTAGCAATAGAGAATTTTCGGGATAATTTTTGAAGATAACTGTTCTCATTTGTTCTTTTCCACCATAAATATACAGACTGAGTTGTTTTCCCCTATTTTTCACAAATAGACTGAACTACTGCAAAAACAAACACTTATTGTTAAAGGAAAAAAAGAAATACCTCACTGATTTCTTTAAATCCAGTAAAATCCTGCAATGAACATCGCCAGTTTCTGATTTCCGTAAGAAAATCTTCGGGAATCGGGTGAGATGCTAAAGATTCGAGATTCCTATGGGCAAACCTGTAATTCAGCATGCTGCCTTTTCAATTACTGTTGTTACACTCAATATACGACCGAGAATATAATAAATAATAAATATCTAAAAATAACTTGATCCTAAATAAAACTGTAAGCATCACTTTTTTTTTTTGTTCTATTTGCTGAAAAATTACAAATATTGGTAATTTCTCTGAAAATTACAAATATAAGTAGCCAACCCGAACAATCGATTTTTCAAGTCATTCACTTTATGCAGCGTGTATTCCAACCAATGCTCTTTCACACTATTTAGTTCGAATAGTAGGCGACAAAGAGATGATATTTCAACAGGTCGATTCTGACATAAGTTTCTAATTATATCACGAAACAATTCTTGCGAAGTAACAGGATTACCTTTATCACTCTTCAAAGGGTCAAAAGCTGAAATCATGCATATGATAGAAAGACAAAGAAACAAAGCATAGTTTCTTATTCCTCAGAATTTGATAATAAAATAATAATGTTTAAGAAAACATGAACTCTTTTGTCTCAACCATTAAAAAATAATATATTGGAATTAAAAAAAAATAAAATTCACAGAACATTTACAGACTTCACCTTACCACTTAATAATTTATCAGAAAGAATAAAAATTCAGCATATCAGAGATATCCTATTTCAAATAATATTATTTGTCACAATAAAGATCTCCAAATCACTAATAAAAATAACAAATGAGATTTATGAACACAGTTAGATATTTTACTTCAACGTTTCTAAGATAAATGCATATTTCATTCCTCTTAACCATGCTTAACTGGGATATCCTATCCATAAAGACAATCAAAATTTCGTAATGCCAATTTCACACTTGACAAATAAATACTCAGTTTAGTTTATGATCAAACGGAAATTAGTAAATATTACCTGCAGAAACATTTTCAAGAATAAAGTCAAGTGGTTGTGAAGCAGCAATAGCATAAAAAACTTGCTGTTCGTTCGATTCTCCAACATGTGAGATGATACGCGCTATGGCTACAGACGGACGAAGTTGTAATTCAGCAACCAACTGCGGTAACCTTAAACTGATTTGTGGATAAAAGTTTCAAAGATGCTCTCAGCATCAATTACAGCTTTCTCGACCTTCACTGTAGTGTAGTAGTGATAAAGCTTGAGCAGATTAAGTAATACATTTTTTAAGTGGAAGAAATACTACCAAACTCAAACTCTATGGACTCAAGTATAAGAGGAGGGATGACCGCGTCAGATTGATTTTATAAACCATTGCCCATATAATATCCATTAACCACAGGTCTCTCAGATAAACAGTCCTACAGATGAGAAGTCAGAAAAAAGTCAAAATTGTAAAAATGATTCAGAATTAGGAATTTCAAACCGGTTGAGATATAATCTATATAAAAATTTAACATAAAAACAAACAAAAAAAAAAAAAAGGGCACTGAAAATTCTTAAAATAAACTACCAAGGTAACCAGTTGCTTGCAGGTATACCAATACCATGTTTTTCCAACTTAGCGTCCACTTCTTTTTCAGTTACATTCCCATAAACTGATAATTTCTAAATAAAGAATTAAAATCACCGGTATACATTTTCACTACAAATCACCTGATAATTATGTAGAAGAAAGAATTATTTCTAAAATAGAAGAAATCAATCGACCACTACCTTCATAAGCCACAATAATCGTGCAATATATTTTCGTGCTCGCAATTCATTTTCCATTCTAGCACCTTCCATTATTCCAATCAAAGCTTCTATCCCTGCACTCAGTGCGGCCTCTTCTGTGCTAAACAATCATTAAGTAATTGAAGAATTGCTGAACTTGACAATACAAGAAGTACTTGGATATCCAGTGAATCATTCTTCATCTCAGTTCGAACTTATTACAGTTGCCCTTTATTAGTAATGACTTTCGTTGCTTACTTCTTTAAGTACCTTTTAACAAAAAAAAATTTCAGAAAAGACACACTTTTCAATATCCAATCGGCTTTCAAGGAAGTCAGCCCAATGTAACCACACAGAATTTCCACCAGCAACATTTTCGTGCAGTAAAGCTGCGGTTTTAAACGAATGACTTGCATCTTCATATCTAAAATTTGAAAAACAAGTTTTGATTCAAGTAGGTCATAAAACACAAATCCCCACTATAATACACAGTTCAGCATTCACTGTTCTCGGATGCAAAAAAATTACACCAGTTGTGAAAATGTAGATCAAAAATTCGTTTATATGAAATACTCAAAAGAACTTACTTCTCGAGTTTCATCAAGATCTTTCCACGCAAGGAATAAAGTTTGGCAATATTTTCCTTGGTGAAAGTATTAATAGTTGTCTTTTGGACAACTGAGAATGCTTCCATAAGTGCACTATGTTTTTGCTCTTCTGCCAGATTAGGCATAGATGATCGTTGTACCAAGCACTTCAAAAGCTCTCTCATCGAAAAATAAGCGTCCATTGCTGGTAAAGCTGGTAAAGTATGTATCCTTAATTTTTTTTGATTATATTTAACTTCATTGGAATTTATGAAAGTAAAAAAAGAGAGCAGCAAATTGCTGCACGGATGGTTTCTGAATCCTACAAAGCAAGCAAAAAACTAAAATTTATTGGGCCAATATCCAACAAGAATATTAAAATAGAACCGAAATTTCGAAGATTGCACACCTGCTTAGTTTATCAATAGCAATATTTATAAGTCCAGCTTTTCGAGCAGCGCGCGCTATCATTAACTGCGAATTTGCAGCTGAATAGAATGGAAGCAAACCCTGTTGAAAATGGCTCGATTGATTCTAAAATAAATCTTCTAGTACGCAAGTTTAAAAAAAAAAAAAAAAAAAAAACCACATATTGTTATAATTTAAAACTGCTTACCGTTGTCCAGTTCTCTTCCTTTCTTTTACTCCCCACTTAATTCCTAATTTCCTCTAACGTAATCTCTTTCCACCCATCCTTCTCTCAATCTTTTTATTTTGCATAACTGCATCACTTTTTATTATTTCATATTCTCGTTGATTTCTTCTGCTTTTGAACTACGACTATTCTTACTATGATAGACTTGTTGATTGCAAACGAAAAATATGGATGACTGAAGCCGAAACATATTTCCTTCCTTTTAACACGTGCTATTTCATCTTTGTTACACAAAACTATCTTTAGACTAAAACATTATTCACTTTATTTGTTAAATATTCTGGACCAAATTTTTGAGAAACCCATCGTTGGTCGTTTGATCAAACCTACTTTATAAGTTAATGTAACAAACAAGAGCAAGAAAACAATCAGATGATAAGAGAAAAGTGAACTTGACTAAATCTATATTAGGAATTTATAATCAGGAAAAAACTTTCCTCATAAACTACTCCTCCTTTCATTATTAGCACATTGTTGTTATTACTACCACCAACTTTTTGTTTCCTGTTATTCCATACATTATATCTATGTCAGTTCACTCATTTTTAGTCGTCTGTTTATTCATATCATTTGTTTCTAATATCTATAGCTAATGTATTTCTTGTTTTCTTGTATATTCGAAATCTGTTATCCTTTTTCTCTTCCTGATATGCAGAATTATGAGAAAACTTTGAAAAATATATTTAATCTGGGAAAAAGTACTGAAAACGACAAGAACCAAACAAATAAACAAACTCCTTCCATCTGTTGAAGAAGCCTGATGGCAGTATTGTAATGGTGGATGCGCCATTGATGAATGTCAGCCCAAAATGATAACGGATCTGATAAAGCATAGGACCGGCTCCTGGAAATCTTATATTTTTCAGTAGTAATAAAAATTCAATTTTTCGTGCCCATCTTAACATATATTAAACTTATTACTAACAATAAATTGTGGAATTCCCAGAACGATTATTCGATGTTGATTGCTCAGGAAACAAGTATATCAAATATTTTAAAGCTTAGGCAGTTTTCGTTTGTCTGCTTATTTGGAGAAAAATTCTACATTCCACATGGTCCCGACTTGTCACAGCCTAGCATCCTTTTGCTTTACTCTTCATCTCATAGCGAATGACAGACTTTCCCACTTTACAAGTAAATAAGACATCTGGATTTTCACCATCATCCATAAAAAGCATCAACGAACCTCCATGCTTTTACTACCGACTTAACATCGCCAATTGGATTCGACGGCAGTGATACTTGACCACTAACCTCTGGATGATTAGTGAGTACACTGGCTTCCTGAACCTCCTGAACAAGATTTGTAGCCTGAAAAATAACAGATTCCTAATATCATTAGTATGTTAGATATGTAAAAATCATTTAAGATTAAAAAGTATATGGAACTTTCAAACATTAATATAGAGTTTGTTAAGATTTGTTAAAAAATAAGCAGCATGACGATTCAACTGACATGTGACCATATACCAAGTGAATTTTCATAAATATGTTTGTTCCAAACTCGAGTCAGATTGTGTCAGTAGAAAAACTTATTTGACTACCTGAAGTATGCTGACATGGCTTAAAGAAACAATGTCTGGTAATCGTCTCCATTCTATAATTAGATCATCTCTTGCTGCTTCCAATTCTCTATTGATTCGAACATGCAATAACTCCGTAGCTCTATCTTCTTGCATGGGATGGTGATTCTACAACAAAATGTCAGGTAATAAAAGTAGCCAATCCATATTAGAAGAGCTGCCAAATCCATGCGAGAAAAACTACAGCTTTATCATAGAAGACGAATAGTGTCTAAAATAGTGGACTAAATATGTGCATAGTAATCTGAAAAAGTTATCAGTAACTTGACAACAAAAATATTTAGTAATAGCTTGTCGAGACCTCATGATGTCAATCGCTTAAAGATTTTAATCTAACACGAACGAGGTGTTAATATGGCGCTGGAGCGATACTTTTAAATTACTCGGTAAATAAATTAAAAAATATATTTGCAAAAAATATACAATATTTTTCTATTACAACATTTTCGGGAGTAAAATATCACATTGAAAAACTAAATGAAAATAATGTCAGTTGCCTTCATGACTATAGAAATGATTTGGTTATAGAAATGCAGTAAAATCAGGAAACTTCAACATTATCAAAATCGAAATAATGCATCTGCGATATCATTTTAACCGAAGTCAACTCACCATGAGCATAGCTTTGTAAAGATAATACTTGTAGTATAAATCTGGCTGCGTGCAACCTTCCAACTGTGTAAGAGTAACTCGAAGCAAGTTCCAGTCATTAAGATGCCAAGCTGCATCCGCAACAATACCGAGACCGTACACAGCAGGTGTATTACCAAACTGTAATAAAGAATTCCACTCACCAAGCTCACGTTCGCAGCTGAAAAATTTTAAGCCTTATTAACAAATACAAGAAACTGGATTAGAACAAATGAAATACAGCATAATTATATATCTGTACAACTGCACGAGAAATATTATGCAGCGACACACTGCCGGCTTAAATTGCAACAAATAATTAGCACTGAGATCTTTATCATTAAACTCATTATAATTTCATTGGCTGAGTACATATTCAACAGGAGCCATAAAGTTCGTTTAAAAAATCTCTAAGTGACAGTGTGGAATAACTGGTATGAGGTTGTGTGCTAATAACTGTTACAGCAACAAGACTATTTTATATCCAGTAAATCATTCTTTTTAAATCATATATAAGTAGTCATCAGTTACCTAAGTTTAAGCCAGCGATGGATTTCCGGCTTAAGTGACAACTTAAGATATAAAAATCTTAAATTTTAAGACTTCTTGTATATTCTGCGCAAAAAAAATAGCAGCAGGCATGTCTATAGAGCTTACTGTTTCGTTATTTGATATTAATAAATTTTTGAAAGCTAACTCAGCCCACAATTTGTGCCATTCGCGTAATTCGAATCCAAGCGCAGGAGTTACGTCTAATTGCTTGCTACTACCACTAGGAGCAACTATACGTTCATTGACGGCTTCAATCGATTTCCTTAAAATTTCTTCTGCTCGTACAAAATCACCTGAAATGCTCTTGTCAACATAAGGGGGAAAAAAATTATAATAAACTATTAAAAATTATTATACGAAAGCACCGCACAACTAAAAATCGCGAATTCATTGGATGAGTTATCAGAATTGTCTCATCATTAATGCATAACACTGTATGCAAAACAAACAAAACATGGTGGTACACACATTTTCCAGATAAGATTAATTGCTAGCTTTAACGAACAAACACACTTCCTACATTCTTTAAGTTTTAAAAGCCCTGAAATGTTGCATTTTTCAGAAAAATATTCCGAAAACAGATGGAAACAACATCAATTTAACATTGAAATTCAAAAAACCTTCGTTGTAATATTCGATAGCTTTCGAAGTTTCTTCAAAATAAGCACGGCGCTTCCAAACTGCTTGGTATTGGTCAAATTCAGATAATTTGGAATATAAAAGAATCAAGTTATTCATCGTTATCTAAATTAAATATAGAAAATTAATTTTCAAATTATTTGGAAACTCCAAAAAGACAAGACAACTTCCGGACCACATACCAGTTGCATATTTGTTGGTGTTGGTTGTAAGATTTGAAGCAATAGTGGATTGTTCGTAAATGCCGGAATTTTCTCGACCTCTTCTTCAAGCATCATCAATCCACGGTGCCATGCATGATGTCTCATTGAAATGTACTATAAAAAATTGTGCATAGCGTCATTATGAGGACAATTCCATTTGAGAAAAATTTGTGCAAGTTCACTCATCTAATTTTAGAGATTTTTCTATCCGATCCGAAAGTAAACCCGAAATGCTCACTGTTCCCATCGCAATATGAATAATACAACGATTCTAATTTTCTTAATTCTGAAAGGAAAACATAGTTTTTCAAAATTCCTCTCGAATCATATAAATGTACCATTAATACACTTGGATGAATTGGAATGGGCGGTTGACAGCGACAAACAGCTTCTAGAAAAGTAGCAACCGCTGAATGAGGTAGATCTCTTTGCATGAGATGACATCCAGATGAGAGAAATGGTATTATTTCAGCATTAAAGATAGCCCTTTTGGGCTCCTGCAGACTTGACCATAATGAAGAGAACAATTTTATCCAAATCTTTGACGCCAAGTCATTACCTGTAATCCATTATAATCCATTAATTTTTAAAATTTAGTTTCATGATTTATTTGAAAGCTCAGTTTCTTGAATTGCGACTATTAAAAAACGACATAGCATATGGTTGGATAATTACAGTCGCTGAGGTGAGGAAAAATATTACAATGTTAGGGATAAACTTAAAAAATGCTTTAAAAAACTGTGCTGCCAAAAGGTTTTAAAACTAATGAGTTCAGGAAAAAAAATTGAAAGTTAACTTACTACTATGAACAAGTTCTAAATAACTCGGAAGGATATCAGTGATCTGAAATTTGGCAGCCATTTCAAACAACTGGACTTGCTGTTCGACAATTAAAGTAGTCTGTAAATCCTGTGCACTTGTTGTACTACAAATCGGTATGGTTACTTCTAAAAGAAAAAAATAAAAATTACTTTTTCAAAATATAATAGTCTGCAAAGTCATTGGTAGATTGATATTCGAATGAATCAAGAAATAAAGTAGACTGAATCTATAAGAGGCAGATTAACAGTTCCTTCGCATCAATTTTAAAAAGCTAAAAAATATTATAAAGATATATATACATATAACATATATATTAACTTATAATATAGATTGTATTATCTTAACCTGTTAGTGTTTGAGTCGCAGAATTCTCCATAAAATCATCTCGTTTGTTTTCTGTTGTATCCACTGTCCGCGACACGAAATCATCATCATCGCATGCTTCAGGATGATCTTGGTATAATGTTTCTAGATCGAGTATTTTTTCAAATGTATGCCATAACGTGCAGCAATTCAGTAATGGTGTTTGCTGCGTGCAGCTCTTATGTTTCTGTTCGTCCATTATTAATGACAACAAAAGCTAAACGAAAAATTTCTGAACAGGAAAAATACATTCAACATTTCTAATAAATTTTCTCTGAATTTGCAAATATTACTAAATTTTTTTTTTCTGAATCATAATATACATAAATGCTTTGATCAGGAAATGCATCAGAAATGACTTACACTAACACAATGCTTGATCCAAAAGTGTTGTTGCATGTCAGCCCAATTCTGTGATGTAATTATATGATATAAACGGTCACAAATATTTTTCGGTATTTGAGCATCGAATAACTTGAAAAATCGAGAACGTAATGACTCATCCTGTAAAAACAGAGAACATGGCTAAGGAGTTAAATGAACTAAAACCTTGCAACAAAGATCACTAGTTTGGACCTGCAAATATATGACGAATATTTCACCCAAAACAATATTAGACAACACCAAGTTCAAATTTAAACATGAACAATTGAAAATCGCATTAAAAAAATGGGGATTTTGTTTATAAACTATTCAAAGTTTATTATTTTCAAAAAATTCAAGTGATTACCTGAGCACAAAGTCCCCAATGAAAAGCACTATTAAGTTTTGCTAATGTTTCATTTGTTCGCAAATGTGCAGTTTCGAAAACGTAAAGAACTGTTTCAAGTAGTGTCTTCAGTAAGTCTCCTGATTTTTCATGACGTTTATGAGCTTCCATTGTTTGCACCAGCCTTATTAAAAGAGGAACGCCTTGATTCAGCTGCCGCTAAAAACAGACTATAATTGCAACTTTCGTGAGAAATCTACTGTTAACGTATTAAGCGAAGCATGATAAACAATACTTCTTTCTGAAATTGGAGTAAATCTGAAACAACGGTGATTCCACTATTATTTTGGAAAAATACGTCCAACAAAAATAGCTCTGAACCAAAATTAAAAATAAACAAACCTCATCGCCATTACGCACCATAATATCAACAACACGAATAACAACATCAAGAACACGATCGAATGGAGTTTTGTCTATAAGTGGTGTTAAAATGCACTGCCCAATATTGCGCCGTGCTTCGGGGGGTATTGCGTGAATACGAGGTCGAAGAAGTTCTAGTGAAAAAATTATTAACTCGGTCAACGCATGGCCTGAAACCCAACTTTGACGGTATAATTGAAGTTTGAAATACAGGACATTCAAGAAAAAATGTGATTAGATCCAAGTTACACTCGATCACAGTAGGTAAAGGGACAATCTAAACATATATATAGATGAGTGATTAAATTTACGTTTAAATATTATCGTATTTTAGGAGTGAATCAAACTGCTCCTTAATATAACAATAAAAGTTTGATACTAAAAGACATCCGAGCAAAAATGTGATCAGAAGCAAATTCTAGAAATGAAATTTCAAATTACAGAAATAAGTTTCAGAAATGGTAAAGCTGGGAAAGAGAATAAAAAAACAAACCTTTATTCTCAGTACATGAAGAAATGTGTTCGCGAACAAGCTTTTGGACAGCTTTTGTAAATGAACTCAAACACATTGTATCCACATAAGCTGGTTGAATAACGCATATAGTACGCAACAAATGTATTGTTGCAAACACACCAGTCATTGGCTGACTTTGTCCTCTAAAATGTGTTTGTAGGTACCCAGCAATCCTTCGCTAACCATTTTTATTATTTTTGTCCTATGTATTGGGAAATTAATAGCCGCAAAGATATTTCCTATATAAAAGTTGGAAATATGCAAAATATCATCAAATATCAGAGATGTGTCAGGATTTTTCAAATTTTTCAGATTGTGTTCAATTTCCAGAAAAGAAAAAAATTGAAGGAAGAAAAGCCAAGAGGTTCAATCTGCGAAGCTTACTTCTCATAATTGGTGAAAGTGTCGTTAATGAATTTTGTAACAAATTGGTTAATCGTTTCCAGTTCATCTAATCCTTCCGGTGAGCACTTTGTTTTCTCGAATAATTTGGAAATAAGCTGACAAAGACTACGCATTACCTTAAAGTTAAGTTCAAATGAGATTCCAGAATCTCTTACACTAGAAAAAATCTCGGAAGCAATAAGAAAACAGAACAAGAATCATTAATTTATTTAAGAAAAATTAACTACTATACTTCTTAAATCTATCAACTTACAGCGTTGTCTTGGCAACTTAGACAGGCAACAATTCCGCGCTGTAACATTTTCACATTTGCAACAATAACTTCTTGTGGCTGAAAAAATTTTTTCTGTAGTATCATACTTGGCTTTTTTTTTCTAAAATCCCATTTCTTTAAATTAGAATCAATGTTTGCCTTTCGGTATTAACCTGAAACATGGAAAAGCGTGAGAGATACAGAAAATTCGATGAAAGTCATCGCTTCATGGCTTTCCGAAGTTACAAAAGATAAAGTTAGAAAGTATTGGAAATAGGGATCTAAACAATTCCTTTTTCCAATACTTGATGAAGCTGTTTATTCATGCGTAACCAAATCTAAAAATTATTCAGCAAAAGAGTTTTTACCAACCAAAATAACGACAAGATGTGTAATAATATCTAGTGATGTGTGCAACTGTGAGAAATGATGAGCAACTGTGGTCTGCTCTCGAAATTGTTGAGTTACAGCTTCTGCAGCGACTGTTAACTGCTTCTCCAACCTAAACACTGAATGTCCATTTCTTTGTTAATAATTACTACTTTTATTAATATTCCAAGAAACTTATCAGTAGTGTTTAGAAAAAATCTGTAACAACTGGAATGGACAAATAATAAGTAGTAGTGTACTTAAAGCATGTAATGCTATACTTTAGAATGTAACGGCTTTATGTCGGTTGAATTATAGGAAGTATTGTACGAACTTCTGCGCCAGATCTTTTTAGAAATTTCAAATACATAACATTGAACACTAATTTAAGTAATGCCATTTACCAAGAGAGTCTGAGATTAGCCGTAAGTCCCCAAAGACTGCTTTTCAGACAAGCACGCAATAGGCCTAAGCATCGTTTGCATAACTGTTCCATTGCTACAGCATGCTGAGTTGGATTCTGCGCAAGATTCTATAATTCTTATATTCCATATTTTATGTAATTATTCCTATAGTTCAATAATCCAAGAAATTTCTACAAAATAAGTAAATTAGATAGTTTTCGACAGGTCTCTCAACGAAAATAACTGACCGCATCAGGTACTGCCGATGATAATTTCACAAGCATATTAACAACATGGTCAACGTGTACTTTCTCGATTGGTCGATGTATCTAAACATTTCATATCCAATTATTTCATTACTATTACTATCTGCATGCGGAAAATGGAAAAGTCGATTAAGAAATTTCATTTTTTTTTTTTCATTTGCATCTTTTCGCATCCATTTCATAAGAGCAAACACATACATTTTCTATGTCCTTATTTTGCACTTGAGATAAACTAGAGGATGAGGATTGCTGATGTCCTGAAAGACTTTCTGTTGTCTCAATTTGTGGATGTTTACTAGTTTCTAATCCCTTTTCCTGAAATTAATTTTACAATATTTCCAGAGAATCCTGAAAGAAACACGATGTAGCACAGGATTACGAATGCAAAAACTGATTCAATTGGACAAATTAAAACCATATGTTCACTATACGATACCAAGCTACTTCAAAAATTTTCACATGAAACAGTAGCAATTAAAATCATTTTACCCATTTTTTAACTACAATAAAAAACCGAAACAAGTTGCACCAATTCTTCTGTTTGCTTAAGTCGCCACTGCTCCCATTTGATGACCATTTCGCATACATCAATTGCAGTTCGTCGATTTTCCAGAGTGCCTTGTGCTAGCATCAGACGCTGAAGTCCGTTCAATATAACTTGTAGCATTTGGTGACGTACATTGTAGTAGATCTTGTAATGACGAACTATCATTGATCTATAAGGTTTTGTATCATTGATCTTCTCTATCCCAAAATATGAATTAGATATCAATTCCTTAAATAGTGCATTTCCATATGAAAAACTTACAAACAATGATAAATTTGTGAGACATTATGACCCTCTTCAATGATAGTTTTCTTAACAATGGTCATTAGCTGTTTATGACCATCATCCATGCGCAATGGCACTGATGGAGTTAATATATCAAGTGAGCGCTTAATAATGTCTTTTGGATCGCTCAAGGTTGCTTTCAGCAGACTTAAAAAAACCTGCAAAAGAAATAAAATGAAAGATCAAGCCGCACGTTGAAAATCGCTTAAATTTGACATTCTATATCATACAAAAGCAAGTTATGTTTTGTGGCATGCTTGATGCATAACAAATGACGATATCCTTTCATTATTCACGAAAAAGTTAAAGTGCATGAAGAAAGACAAAGAAGCTATACAACAAGAAAAGAAATGATGAAACCTGCAAAACGATTTTTCGATTAATATTAAACTGATTGATAATATTAGCAATTAACAAATGACCCATGTATTTCATTGTTTGATCTTGCGGTGTCGACGATAAACATGGCCAACCCAAAAGCATTAAAATGCGCAGACGATTGCCCTGCTTCCTGCAGTCTCTGTCATAATAACAAACGATTGAGTCAGCTTTACAAAACCTTTTTTGAAAGACCTCAATTTCCCGTTATGTTTGAAAGATGTTATTTTTTTTTTGTTATGGTGCAATACAAAAAGAAAAAATTTTCCGAAATGGCAAAATTCCTAACAATTAAAGTCAAGATCGAATAAAACACAAACTTTTGTGAGAAGTCATGTATGTGAGTTGGACAGTTGCTGACAAACAGGCATCCCAGATGGAACAGCTGAATAAGCATTGCATCACTTATATGAAATCTATTTCGATCGAGTATTTTTTGGCAGACTAATGAAATCAGATTCTTGTCATCTACATCATCTGGCTTGGCTGGTGTACCAACTACCTAAAAAAGAAACTACCTCTCTTTTAATTTTTTGTGTTATTTAAACTGTAAAATAAAAAATGTCTTTGAAGAGCAACATCTTTCTTATTCCTAAAACATAATATTAAATTGTATGGAATGAGTACGGTCTATATTAACTTGTCATATTAAACAATATTTGATCAAAAAAAAAAAAAAAAAACGCCTACTTGTTCACATTAATGAGGTTTTAATTACATAGAAATTAAAGCAAGAAATTTCAGAAAAATTGTGAGTGCAACAAATCAACAATCAAATGAGAAATTAACGCCAACTAACCACATCAACATCGTAACGCTCGAACGCATAATGTAGTGAAGGGATGACAATATATTGAAGCATTTTAACAACATTTAAATCGTGCGCTGTAGCCGAATCTTTTTCAAACATAGCAACTATTCTCTTCAATGCATTTTGCCGCCATTCAATGGGATACTTCTGTAACTAATATGTAATTATATATCGTAAATACAGATTATTGGAAATTTTTTTAAAAATAAAATAAAAGTAAATAAAGTGGATCTTGAAACAAAAAACAAAACTATACATTATTTTTTCCTTCATGGTTCCTACAGTCTTTCTATAAAAAAAAAAAAAAAAAAAAAAAAAAAACAATCAACAACATCTTCCTATTACTAACATACTAAAAGTATAAAAAACAATTACATGACGAAATCTAATGGATTGAAATTTCATGTCTTACAATGAACTAGAATGAAACAAAGTTACCGGAATAACTTCTTTTTCGATAAACAATCTTACAAAGGTGAAATCACCGATGTAATTATTTGTAAACACATGGCAAAGGTCGAAGAGGATATCAATACGATCGATGTTGGCTCTAAATGCAAAGAATAAAAAATAAAGATTGATAATCTTACCAATTTCGAATACCAAATTTAATCCAGAAAAAGTATAAAATCAATTAAGGGGAACGTGGAAATGCTTTCAAAAATTACTTGAAATAACGCAACATGATTAGAGCTGCTAGTTTGGGGACGTCATAACGTGGTCCCTCCAAATAGTCCTGAAAGAAGTCAAGCATAGTTTTCTAATTAAATGAAATTAATTTGAATTTTTGGTTGCTGTTTATCTGCTTACACAGGCTGATACCGCCTTGATTTGAAACGATCATGTCTTCTATTTTCTTTCAAGATTTCTATCAAATAAATTCAACTTGGACAATCGATTGAAACGAAAGTACAAGTGAAATCTTTCACCTTGCACGTGTACCGAGTGCGGAAATCTTTGTCGTTCCACAGTGACTGTATAACTTTGACAATTTCACCAGCACCATTTCCAGCCCATTTTGAATGACGTTTCCCAATGCTGACAATCAGTTTCATAGCTAACATTTCCATATCATAGATCGACAAATCACACTTTATCCAATTGCTAGCTTCATCCTAAACATTGCATAAAGTTTGTGAAATTAATTCAATTAAGTGCAAACTACATAATTAATTTACTGAATCTTCATGCTACTGAATTTAAAAGAAAAAACAAATATGAACTTTATTTTTATTACGATCAGTTTCTGTCAAACATAATACATAATCACGTTCAGTTCATAATCGATGCACAATGCACTTAGTTTCGCAATTTTTTTGATATTTGGTTACTGATAGAAATACATAATTAAAACTAATTAACCATAGCCTCTCCTTGCAATAATCGGAGCAAAAAACTATTATCTTCCATTAGTTTCTGCTGAATTGCTACTGCTTCTTCATGCTTCACCACATACTATAAAGAAATACAACAACAACAACAAAAAAACAGGAAAGAAATAAAAAGTTATGCAAAAAAGGAAGTCACCAAATCCAATTTATGATTTAATTAATTTCTATATTATCTTATTTTCTATTAGTTGTCAAATTAACGATATAAAATGTTGCACACGTCATTTATAGAACAAAAATTTTGATATACAAATAAATAATCATAATGTGACCAATGACCATCACATTATGTCTTTTACCAAATAATTACAAACAGCTGCAAGAACCTTAAATAATTCACGATTCCTTTGGTCACAGATGTTGTTGCCTATAAGAAAGAAACGGAGAGTTTCTAGTGGAAATCGCGTCAAATATTTCATTAGTGGGTATCGCCAACTTGTGCTGTTCTGCAAAATAACAAGCTCTTGATATATAGTAGCAGTGCGAAATTAAATAAATCTTTAAGAAACGAAACTTAAACCATTACAGCTCTTAAGTCATTAAATCTCCAATATTATTGCTTATCTCGATTCACTATTCTTGTACCAGCGATTAAATCCTCAATCTTCATTACGTTGTTCATCATTATAAAAAAGTAATGAAATGTTTTATAACTAAGAATGTTCACATGTGCACTTTGGGAATTGATAAATGTGAAACGAAGTCTAAAGCTATTCTTCATTATAGTTTAGTAGATCTAGTTTTAGTTTTTAATTAGTTGTTTCAACCTCACTAAATCAGACATGTTTTTTTCTACAAACCATACAGATTTATACATTGCTATGACTGCGACATGTTTAATGATTACTATTAAAAATTTTAACAGATATTACCTCAAACGAGACAGTTGCTTCCCATTTGCGAACATGTGATATAATCAAATGCACAAAACTGGAGTCAGCAAGCGGAAATTCAGCCAAAATCTCCAGTAGTATTCTTCCTATTTTAACATCGCTAGCCAAAACATTATTTTGGTTAGGATCCGGAAATTTCCGAAAAGCATTCTGAATTGATACCATTTTGCAGCGATTCATTTTTTGCATTATTATTTCTTACATTATGGTTTTCTTACGTTAGTAGTGCTGTTACGAAAGATTATTAGATATCTTATAGCACCTTTGACAACAATATGGAAGATTTGTAAAAGATACCAACAATTCGTTACAAAATGATCCTGGAAATGTATCCGGAAATAATCGTAGGAGATAAAGCAGACGCAGAACGATGTGTTTTTCTAAGCGATTATCTGATTGAGATAAGCTAGTAATCATCGATCCGATATCCATTTTAAGTACATGTGATCGCAATCGATCTAAATTCAATGCCTGAAACAAAGATTAAAAGACTTATGAACAAAACATAAGTTGTGGAATGTCTACTGTTCTACTCAGAACGAAAACAAATGTTATCTCAAATAATAGAAGAAATGATAAGTTGATAAATGTTATATCTAAATAAGAAACAACGTTTTTTAATGCGCTGAATGCAGCATCCTGAATCTCTTCATTTTCTTCCATAAGGCATTTTAAAACCGCCTCAAATATTTGTTTGTGATGTGGAAACAGTGGGTCATGATCCATTGCCTGCTTCAATTCTCCACAAGATGCAATACAACATGATACCAATGCTCCTATAATTTACAAAAACTTCTCCTTTAATTTGTGTTAATTTGATTAAAACGAGAATTTGCGATAGATTCTTGAAAAGCCGGCAAAAAAAATATAAAAATGAAGGTATAGAATAAACTTGCAGACTCAACATAAAATGAAAAAATAAAACAAAAACCAACTTATAGTTGACTTTCGTAAAGCGATGACGCGTGAACTGAATTGCGAGCGATGCATGACAGCGAGAAATCTCGTTGATGGCTTATAATTTGGCCTGTTTCTTATTTCTTTTCCAGTAGCATTGCAAATAGATAGAAGTCGAGAAACGTAATCAGTTTCCGGAAATTTGTCCAGTATAAATTCCTGTGGTACTGGTTGAATGGAAAAAATGAAAACAAAAGCATCCTGAAATAAAAATAACATTTAAATTTTGGAAGTAAAAGTTTGTTCAGAAAAGCGTCTGCTGTTCAGTGAGGAAATGTCATCTGAGGTATTATTTTGGACTAAATAACATTACTTGTTGGAATTTAAATGCGCACATCCGAGTTATACATATATGATTACATCCAATTTATTAATATTTAAATAGATCAAAGAAACAAGGAATTAAGCATCAAAAACCTCGAAGGCAATTTGCTGATCTAGAGACATTCTTCTGTAATCTGTCATTCCATTTTCTAAGAATTTTCTTAACGACTCATTTTGCAGTGCAAGCAACTCGCACTGTGTAAGTCCCGTATAGTTTGCCAATATTGTAAGCATTTTCTGACACTGTAAAATTTGAGTCTGTGGATTGTTCTACCATGAATATTCAGTAAAAATACTGGCAAAAATTATCAACCTGTTTGGTAACAACTTGTGAAGGGCTCAAAAGATTTTCAATAATTCGCCCAACCACACATTCAATAGCTTCCTTTTTCCTCTCATGAACTGATGACTGTTCGAAACAGATCTGGAATTAAAACAAAAACGAAATAATCCGATATAACAAGGAACTATACAATTCCTAAATAATATATACTTTAATTTTTTTGACTAAACCATAAAATCAAGTACTTTCAACAATAAATCCAATGTAGCGACTGCAACATCAACAGCTGAACTTGAAACATCCTCCATAAGTCCAACGATGACCTAAAAATAAATGACATGGTAGATAACAAGACGATAAAATTAAATTCATGACGAATTATATTACTAAGGAATCCTTATTACTGAGGAAAAATCCAGAATAAAATTTTGGACTTGATAGGTTTATCAAGTTCAAAATTCCGCACAGATATGAAAATGCCAGAAAATCACCTCAAATAAAGCGCAAAGGATGGTATCAATATTGTTAATAACGAAAGCTGAAGGAAAGTTTATCAAAATAAATTTAATGCTTAGACAACCACCAAGACGAATGCACCATGGCTCGTTGTAACAAAGATTAGTTGCCCGTTCCAAAATCTGTTGAAAAAATGCAGTGTTGGTTGCCTGAAATTAAGGTTTCACTAAGAATAACATGATAAATTAGTTAAATGCATGTAGATAAAATGGTTGATATTACATAAAAATTCGTAATACTTTTCAAAAACGCAGAAGTAATGGCATACTTTACCTACGACAAGTTTTATGCTTCGTTACAGTACAAACACTGACGACATAATAAAATTTCAATGACTCGTGCAGGATCAAAACTGACATATTCCCAGTACTAATGTGTTCCTTTTTACTGTCACTTTACTATACAATTCCTCAATTAGCATCCATAGTTTCAGTTATGCAGATGACTTCAAAGAGAACATAAATTGCATATCTAATTTAGTTTTATTTTTCTAATAGTTTTTAAAAAAGATCATTTTAAAAACTTTTCTAATAAGTGAATTACTTTGCTGATACTACCAAACAAAGCTACTGTTGTCTCACAGATCAGTTTTAGTGCCATAAGGCCAGTTTGGCACACTTCTTTACATGGATCGGTTAGAGCAAGCAATACACTATCAATCAGCACAGTATAATCCATAGAATCTGAAGCCTGATCCACTGTACTATCGGTTCTCTCTGTAAGAAAAACAATGTCTTTTTTTTTTTTTTTTGAAATTATAACATACTGCGAGCTTTTAAAAAGAGAAAGAGAATGCTATTTAGAATGAAGAAATTAAAAAACGCAGATCCGATAACTAAAAATCCAAAAACTTTGCCTCGGCATTGTCCAAAAATAATCTGAATCGTTATATGCCGTATAACCATGCAGAAAAAATCCATAACATTACTGGTTGCTTCTTGCAGTACTGCAGCTGTTGCATCTTTAAAAAAAAAGGAATGCTTATAAAGATGAAACACAAACCTTATAATTTAAAAATTTTACAAGCTGCGCACTTTTTTAAACACAAGTTTAGCTAAATAATCTATGACTTGATAAAAGAGAATTCTTTTTGAGTTCAGAGATGTACTACAAACTATATAAGCTATATTGATGTCGTACATTTTTTGTAAAATATAAAAAATTGTCAAAACGTTTACAGCAAAAAACTCAAACTTACAAAACAGTCCGAGTAAAACATCAAGGTAAAGAGACCGTGAATATCGACTAGTGCATTGATAATCTAAATGAAAATTGCTCTCTTCTTTTGCACGTAAATCCTAAAATTTGCTCTAATTATTATATATTCTTCTGTACACCATCCCAGTACTTCTGCTTTGTAGATTTTGCTATCCTCAAAATTAGTGATATTTCACGCTTTTATAATGCTGTTGAATCTGAAATACTTTTATATCTACTCACTGAACCGAAAATAAAAAAGTTTTTTATTTTGAATAATCTTCGTTTACTGATAAAAAAGAAAGAAAGAAGCAAAAACTGGAAGCTATCATGCACATCAGGGACATTGGCAAATTACTGCGTAACAAAAACAAAACTCGTTACCATTAATTTGATCGTAAAATGCTTCTTAAAGAAAGGGTTTTTTAAAATTCCACGTTTTGTAGGTGCCAAAACGCTCAAAATCACTCCTTTGATTATACGAAATGCATGACGTCGCATAGTCAGAGATGAAATCCGTATCCCGCCCGGAATTGTTTGTGCAGTTGCCATAATGAAAGATGCATCAATTACAAATGGTGAACGCAAGTGCCTAACCGATTCTTTCACCACTTCCGAAACATTCAGTTCACAGAAGAAAGGAGGACTTTTGCTACTACTCTGAAAAACAAGATTATACTTTTACTAGCAGAAATTTACTAGGAGGTCGGAAAAGCAATCAAAGCAAAAAACAACCATATTATCATCAAGTAAAACTTCTCATATACCACATCTTCATGTTATCTGTAAAATGAAAATTAGGACTTGGGTTTCATCCGGTAATGTTTCATTGAATTCAGCATGCGATGAAGCCCGTTCAAAAATCAACTGAAATGCTGGCGATTCGAACGAATGCTCCTCTTTAAACACCAAGTTTTGAGGATCCATCAACATTTTCCGATTCGATGCACCAAATTTTCCCAAAATCCTGAATATTATATCCATTCCTAATCTGCTAAACGTACTTTTTTAATTTTTAAACATCATAATTCCTATTTTTTTTCAGCTTTCAAACGATACCTACCTTCGTCAAATATCATTAGCTTAAGCGCACATAAAATAACACACTCATAATCACTCTTAAGTTTAAACTGAGGTAACAAAAAGATCAAAATCAAAATAAAAATGAAAGACCTAAACGCAATTTGTGGTGCGTTCTTTTCCTGACTTGACATGCACTGCCATAAACCACGTATTAGTTCAGCTCGAACTGGTGCCATATGTTCGTAGAGGTAATCAGGTTGTAAATTGTCAACACATAATTCCAAAGTTCGTAATCCCTGCAAGTTTTTCACAGCTGATAAGATATGGACTTTTCTGCACAATTTCATAAACTAGTACACTATTTGTTTCTATCCCTGTTTGACCTTACACCTATCTGCTAAGTCAAATCTATCAGTAAAACAAAATCACATTCCAGAAAAAAAAAAATAACCAAAAAATCTTTGGAAACATTAGTGCATTTTAAAGATTTTTGGAAACATTAGTGCATTTTAAAGATTTCATAAATTGAAACAAATAAATAAAAAAATATATATAACTGAATAAATAAAATAAATAACTGAATCAATAAGTATTAAATACATAAATTGAAAGAACGATTAAGTGAATAAAATAAATGGCATAGCTAGTTACATAAAACGAATGCTTAATTTATAGATAAATAAATTATATATATATATGGAATAAAAAAAGATTGCGGGAACCTGCTGAATAAGACTACTACTTCCATTCAGAGCGCACACTAACGGATCCATCAACAAAGGTAGATAAGGTAGTAGTGATGACAATCTGAAAAGAAATCCTTTCACAGTCTCAGTGCATTATTAGTTAGAAGACAATATCAAGTCAAACATCTTTTAAAAATTTTATTACCTTACAGGTACGGTTAAACATAATTCAATAAACAATTCACGCATTTGAGCCCGATGAGTACTAGACTGAAGACGATTTAGCTGGTGCAGAAGTGTTGGCAGAAGGGGCAGAAATGTCTGATAAAGCAAGTCATAGCTTCCACCGCCAATTGAACTAAAATGATTAGTGTAGATAATCGCATTTTTTAAACTTGATATTTAACTATTCTGAAAATTGCGTATTTAACATTAAATACGCAATTCAACAACTAGGAAAAGTTTAAGAAATACTTCATATCCACTTCAATAGAATATAATCGACTGCTTGTAAAAAATTATACAAATTCAAAGTTAATAACGAACAATTACTTGACTACTGCATACAATTTTTGTCGAATGAAGTCGACGAAGAATTTCAAAATATTTAATACTATAGATTCAAAAGATGATATAAAATGTAAGCAAGATAATAGCTTTTGCATGCTCCAGTTATTTATCTACTAGACAAAAACACACCAAAAAATATTTCAAATATATATTTCGAGAGAATAGAAATAATTACTAGAATATTAAACAAGTTACCGGAAAAGTGCTCTAAGCAGAAGAAAATAATTAATTGGTTCTCGGGCTCGAAGTGCCAGTTTCATTGAATGAAGAACCAGATCATGCAGATATGGCTGCAAGATAATTTACTGAACTTTGGCTGTTTATGAGATGAAACTTGCCTTTAATAGCTAAAAACAACAGCAAGTCTTTAATTAAAGAAGGAATAAATATTCCATATTGAATTTTTACAAAAACAAGAAAAAACAGAGTTTTACTCGAAGCATTCGTTCATTCTCTGCACATCCTGAAGGTTGCGAACCAACCGAGGAGAATACAATTTTGAACAGCTTCAACCAAAGAAAAGACCTTTCCGAACATTCTGAAATTTCATTTCAGAGTGAAGTACTAGTTTCCAATATATATATATATATATATATATATATATTTCGTGGAGATTTTGATATTAAATACCGCAGTTTTTCCAATATAGAATTCTAATTTTTACCGCCAACCGTGGCAAGTTTGTTTTGTGGCTGACATAAAAAATTTTTTCAGTTCTCTGAATCACATATTACTGAAGTCTATGCTAAGCATTTTGCATACCAAGCTACATAATTAGACAACAACAGTTACCACTGCTAATTGGATATTAGCAAAAAAAATTGAACCACTGAACTGAATGACTGATCTCTCACCATATAAAAAAATATGAAAAACAGAACCAAGTGAATAAAAGCTTACCAGCCAAATCTGGTAATTTTTTCATAAGGAATCGGATTAATATATCGCCAAAATTGGCTGACGTCAGAGAATTAACCAGTAATGAACTGCATATGATTTGAAGTCCGTAATTTGAAGCCAGTCTTTCGATGAAATACTAAAAAACGAAATGCTATACTAAATAGTGATACCACGAAAAAGAAATAAAAAATGCATAAAGTTTTAGGACTTACATCAATACGTTTTGATATGATTTCTTTGAAAATTGATGGATTCAGTAATGTAAAAATAGAACCAAAGAGCTCCAAAACTTCCTTCTCCTCTTTTGTGCGTACTCCATTTGAAAATCTTAATTTTTGTCATATTTCCATTTCGTTTCTTTCCATTTTAATGTCATTATAAATTTTTTTGTCAAGTGCATATTTCCATTTTATCTCTTGAATTTCTTAGAAAATTAAAAAAGAGACAAACCTTTGCTGTGTCGATGGAACTTGACTTGACATCGGACAGATCACATATATATCGAGGCACCGCAAACCGTAACGGAAGAGCTGCTCAATTATTTTTGCTTCGTGATCTGGCGATATCGCATCTGGATGATTAATTTCCAATAAAGTACTAATAAATTCAAATGAAAACAATTTACTTTAGACATCCGAAGAACAATCACTTCCAATCGTATCGCAACGAATAAGACAACTAAGCGACACACGATAAAAGATGTGAATAAGTACAGCATGAACAATGTTAACTTGGAGGCATATTAATTTAGTAATTCATTACTAAGTGGTTTTGTGACTACAAAATTCGAAATTTCCAAAAAACTAATCCAAATATTTCTAAAAATATATGAGATACAGTTTTTATACGTACCATATAGTTAGGGTTTTTTATAAACAATTATTAAAATAAGTCAGTCTATTACCTCTACTACCTATGAATGGTTACCTGTCAGCTGGAAAAAGAAAATCTAACGATTTGTAGCATGAGTATCCTTCAAAGCGTGTACGGCATGTTTACAGGCTTGAACAAGCACTCGTATCATGTTCCTACATTCAACCAAACTGTAAGATGGAATACCAGTAACCCAGTACTGGTTAAATATCTCCTCAGGTGTCGAGGTCTGCAAAGAAGACTATTTTCATAATTTCCAAACCATTACGATTATCGCACATGATGCTAAAAAAGATTTTTTTTTTTTTGAGTTTTTGTAACACAACATTTGAGAATCTATTAGGAAAAATACTAATTTGGTTGATTTTGTGCCTATTCAGTTAATATGATAGAAAAGTTCTCAAAAATGAAACAAATTACTAGATTATAAAATACCATGACTTTTATTTCACATTAATTATCGTGATAAGGACCTCACCTTGCCTATCTTCGTAGATAACGGAAGAGAGCAAGACGGTAAGTCATCGTCTTTATCATTTTCATTACCCCAAGTACTGAAGTCAAAGTCACTTTCTGAAGACAGTGGTGATGTTGGATCTTCTTTAATCATTTTACTGTGGGAGAGCATCTAAAACATACCATGTTAACAATTAACTACTTGTTTTCAAAACTTACGAAGTCTTTAACTTTTTTTTCATAATTTGCTGTAATATAACTGTAATAAGAAATTTAGTAGAGGTCGAAAATATTTTACAAACTATGTTTTGGCGATCAAGCTTCAAGTAATATTAAAAGTGTGTGAAAGAATGAAAAATCAAAAATAACCTCATCCATTTTGCTTTTGCCATTTGCAAAAGAAAAATCACTGCGTAATGACTGGGAAGTGCTAAAAATTTTCAGCGCATAACATAATAAAGTAAAGAAATAAATGTATTGTTAGCCTCACAGATTTAGGAAACCTACGTTGCAAATATCAACACGCTTCAGAAGTATCAATTAGTATTGCTACTGCATGAGTTCTAATGAATTTTGAAGCAACTTAATGAAAAAGTGAGGTTTCTCTTTGAAGCATCTATAAAGAAAAATGATTTATTTGTCAAGAATGAGAATCCTGCAAAATCCTATTTCAAGGAACTGACTTGTGCTTATCTGTTTGCTACATATGAAAAAAACCGATATTTTCTATTTCCGCAGTGAGCCTGTTTTTCAGAAATTGTACAACTAAAAAAAAAAAAAATACCTGACACTTCTGTCAGGATAAAGTAAAGGTGTATTCATAATATTACTCTCATTTTTTTCTAATATTATCGGTACTTGGTATCGTGCCAACCATTTAAGTTTCCGCACATAATTTTCCAACAAACAAAACAGTATATCACGACACTAAAAATAAATAAGATACATACGTCATTTCTCTCACATATATCATTGACAATGACAAAAAATCATATAAAAGCTAAAAATATATCAAAAGTCCTTGATTTACATTTTAGCGCATATTATGAAATTCGAGTGATGTACATATCATAGTACTACAGTTAATTCGCCAACTGTATAACTTACCGGTTGGTCCGGGTGATTTTTCTCCGTAACAACAAATGATTCAATAAGATTCATCATTAGCTTGATACACATCGATTGCACCGTAGGTTGTATTGCTGGATCAAACATACTTTTTGTGAATGCATAAACTGAGCTAAAAAGTGATTTTAGATTTTTCCCGTGACTGAAACCTCACAGAATTGGAAAACTATGTTTAAAAATAACAAAATTTAAAAAGTATGGGTGAATAACAAAGTTACCAACCAGCAGAGAAGACTGTAAGACAAATGGCCGCGTACATGATGAACAAGATCTGCTAGCATTGTATACATAGTTGGTCTACAAACATGAGATTTTTAAGTTTGAAAATGGTTTAAGAGGAAAAACAATTAAGAAAGTTTCAAAATGATCTGGACAAATAAGTATCTCTTTTTTTCACTTATAAAACTAAGTTAAAACTCAGATGGAAAAGAGAAACATAGTAGACAAAGAAAGATGTCATAAAAATTAAACACAATAAACCTAATATACTTCGTAAGTATTTTTATAAAATGCAGCAAACCTTAAGAAATCCATCGAACTGAACCCGTTGCCTAACATAAGATTTTCATTAAAGAGTTTCGGAATAACTGGGATAAATTTAGTCTGGAGGTCGGTAACAAAAATATTTTTTACTGTCCCAATTAATTCACGTCTCATCGAATAATTTTCATGCGGACAACGCTCCAACATTTGCATTATCGACTGAACTATTTGAGTTCCATGATTATTAACTACTTCACTCACGTTGAACTAAAAATGAATAAATAATTTAGAAAAACCTATAAAAACAAAGGTAATAAACGCTACAAAACTGACATGTCAAGTCTGATTTTACTTAACTGCGGTCACATAGTTTTTCGAAGGTTTTTCAAATCCGTCCATAAAATGAATCACATCTATTTTTAACTAAAATCGCTACTTTGAAAGTGTACTTTCAAAATTTCGAGAGTTGTCTAATTTTGGAGTGCAATACATATTTTAATTGAATGATAAATCGGACTGATTATAACAATGATTTTCACAGAGGTCATATACTATTTTAAGTGTTCTATTTTATTCATTTGCTATTTGAAAAATATAGATTGAGTGTAATGACCAGTCAATCAACATAAGAACGGCCATCTGACAAATTTTTGGAATTGCAGCTATGAATAATCAACGTCAAGCATAACACGAACAAAAACTTTTTGCTATAATTTAACAATTGTAAAAAAGACGCTAACCACAGTAGAACGAGAGGAGATGAATCCCAAAAATGTCAATGCTCGCACTTGAGAACTATAAAATTCGTCAGCCAATAATGTGCTAAAGGAACTACTAATTTGCTGGTCGTGAGGTATTGAAAGCATGCAATACTGCACCATAAGCGAGATTATTTCCATTAACTGCAAATTTTATTTCTTTATAAACTGAAAAAGTTGCATATTTGTCGTCTCTTCATAGAGTACAATTAAATGTCTAGTCAATTTAATACTGCTCCAATTAATTACCTGAAGTTTGGTAGCATAATAGAAGTCAACATACTCATTATTAATGCCGATATCAAGTGTAGAAACATCTAGTTTAAAATGAGTATATTGCAACTTTATGTTACTAATTAATAATAAAAAAAAAAAACAGAATGAAAAAAGGACATTTTTCAATTTGCTTAATACTTTGGAAAGGAAGATTAAAAGTCTTTAATAGTTTCCTAAATGTGGAACTCTGAAACAAACCTCATTTTGAATGTGATGACGATGAATTTGAAATAAAATAATACAGAACATCGGTACTTCTGACAAAACCTTTACACTCTGTGAAGCACGAGGGATCAAAGAATAACCGCTGTCACGCTGAGTACCGTCTCCCGAAGTTTCCGGAAGGTAGACAATTGTTGGCATATAACAGTTTTGAAGTGACTGAAATATCAAAGGAATCACCATACATATTCTACTACTCTGACAGTTGCATTTCACCATAACTGCCGAGCAAATATTTGCTTTAATGATCAATTAAGATACTAAATGTTTTGTACCTTACCTAAATTTCTTAGCGTTACTTTAAATGGAAAATTTTCAATTATAAATATTAAGCTTAAAGAATTCTCTGTGTCAAATCATCCAACTAATAACTTACAGATTCAATTACACTATCTTCCATTCCGCAATGTCGAAGGTTTCGCTGCTCAAACATACGTCCACCAGTGATATGCTGCGGCATATCACGATACACTGCTTTAAAATGATTGATGATGATCGGGATCTGAAATGGGAAATTTATGTATACAGTAATTTAATTATGCAATACGTGCCAAACAAATATTTTTACACTTCAGATATCTTAATAACAAATATCTTAATAATTGCTTAAAGTATCTTTCAAGTAACTGAATGAATCATATAAAGAAATGAGAAGTGAAAATTAAATCAAGTCAAAAAAAAAAAAAAAACCTCTGGTGTAAAAACAGCCCTAAATGCACGTTGATGCTCACTGATAATTTTGATAGCAATAATAGCATTTTCCTCATTCTCAACTTGAATCACTTTTGTAAGCTGAGTAAGGATAAGTTTTGCGTACTGTTTAACGATTTCATTGCAATTCATGCGTAGTATCAGTTCAAGTATCAACTTTCGTAACTGCTGAAATATTTGAAAAATTCATCAACATGCTATGCATTTAAATCAGGGTAATGTAACAAAGCTAATTACATAATCTGCAGTAAAGCAGTCAGACGTCGTGACAGATTTCATTGCTTCTCTTAAAGTTTTCTCCATAATTCCACGCCACTTCCGCAAAATACATTTTCATCGCTTAAGTTTGCTAATTTTATAGCTGATTTGTAAATGGAAACGACTCAAAAATAAAAGATATTCATGAAGACTGCACCTGTGTGTTATTTTCTCCGATAAATTGAGGCACAGTGTCTTGAAAAATTTTCAAAAATGTGCGTAACAGATTTTCCTGCACTATCTGAAAAGCAGATGTAGTTGCCATTTCTTCAAAACTGTTGCTTATTTCCTGGAAAGTATATGGATTAATAAACAAACCACAACTAGGAGAAATCATAAATTCCATGGATTTATATTAATTAGATATCATAAAGTATACCTCAAGAGTTAAAACGAAATTTGAAATATTCAAAATCGACATTACATACACAATACTTTGAATGATATAGTAGTCAGAGAGCAGTTAAGCATTTATTTTTCTACCAAAAACATGTTGAAAACCTTAATTATTTCGCTTCTCCATATTATCTTTGATCGATAGGCAATTAAACATAAGTATTTATCAATTACAATATTTTTTTCATATATGATGTGCAAAATAATGTGCAAAAAATGATGCTAAAAGTGTTACATATAATTATGTGATGCATAATAAATTTCACCTTGGAATCTATAAATTTTGTTTCATTTTCGACGAAATTATGCCATACAAATTGGAATGAAAAGATAATTAATAACTGACACAGTGTCAATTACCTGTAAAGCTTTCAATTTAAGATCATCTCGTTGGCCGGCATCACCGATTGTCTGGATGAGTGTTTCGAGACGTGAAAGCAGAGGATGATGGCCTTGTGCAGTGGTCTGAAGACTGTGCCCCATAGGTCTTACTGTTTGCTGCGAAGTGTGTTGTTGAGACTGGTAACCAACAGGAATACTCATCTGTGATGAATTTAAAACATTACACTTATTCTATAAAGTTTTAGTTCCGCTTAATTCACCGTTTCTTCCAAAGAGATGCATATTTAACAGTAAAAGCATGTAGAGTTCCAAAACTTACTGAAAACTAAAATTAGTGACACTAACTTCATTAATTACTAATTCGATACTGCAACAAGACAACACACAAGCTGTACAACGTAACACCCGTGCATCCTTCGTTATATTTCAAGGAAAAGGAAAACGAATCAGGAAAACATAAGATCAGTTTGGAAGGGTTCCACCTCCGCATCTGAAGTAGTATGATCTGAATGGAACAGAATTTGAAAAAGAACGGAATTCAGAGGGCCAAACGATGAATCATCTCGATGACGACCACTGACCCAATAACTTACTAGAAAACATTTACATTTAAGCTAATAATTCTATTAAGTACACCAATACCGCTACTCGTTGGTTCGCCATTATTAAATGCATAAATTAGATTCATAGATTCGAAATTTTGTAAATTAGTGCTTATTTTAAAAAGTTTTTAAAATTTAAAATACAAATATAAAAAAAATAGAATGAAAAAGTTTCGTTTGAAAAATTTTTTAAATATTGTTTAAAAAAGTTGTTTGGTTGTTTAAATTCTTTGACGTTAAAAGGATTTTGTAGCGATGCATCATGGGAACTGAAATTAATGAAAGTTTTGATAGGTTTATCTTCAAAATCTCTGGTGTTTAAAAGGCATTTCATTTACTGAAATAACTAGAATTCACATTTCTTTCTCATTTTTCGAAAACTGTCGAATACTAAATTGGCAACATTCTCCTTGCTGGGTGGAGACATTTTGAGGGCATAATAAATCTTAATCAAACGCTGTTTTGTAATCTGTCTTATCGTTAAATTTGATGCGTTCTAACGTACAGTTAGAACGCATCAAATTGCTCTCTTCCTATCATACTTTCATCTATTCCATCTGTCTGTACTCAGCTATCAATCGGCTACATGAAAGGAAAGGCCACGCGCTGTTGTCATTATCATGAGTTAAGATTGATAGGACTTCCTAGGTAGATACGCGTTATCCTTTCTTCACGGCACGAACAGACAACAAAGTCGATGGTTACGGTATATACGACGAGTTTTGGTAATGAAAAATATTTCTTTGGTGATTTGGGAAATGTTTTATGTACTTTGATGGGTTATTTAAAGTATGATTTTTTTATTACTTCACTTCACTGGTGCACATACATGTCGACAAGCCAAATGTCCTTGAAAAACAACCATTTTCGGGAATTCTTGAAAGAAAAACTGATATGCTTGCAACACTCGATTGACTTATTTTAGCATAGTTCGTTTATTTCCCGATTTCATTTATCTTGCCAGTAATAAATATAGTTTGATTAAAGCGATTCAGTTCATTGATTTTATTAAATTAAACATGATTAATAGTGGGAAGAATCCCGTCAGATTGTATACAAGCTATCAGCTGATAGAGCCAGATTGATTTGTTGGATGTTATGGCTTCCTCTTCTGCTATTTGGCCTCCGGAAGCGAAATCCGAAATATGACGTCTTCCATAGTCTGATCATAAAATTGATAATAATTCTAAGAATTTCCGACCGTTTTATCTGTCCATACATGCCTTTTCACTTATTGTCAACAGTAGCCAACTTCTAGTCATTTCCAGTTCTTTATTTTGTTGCTGGAAAACTGTATTGAAATTATTCCTTTGAATCCGCCTTTTTTTTTTTTTCATTTTTTCAATTTTTTTATCCGTAGGTAAATTGGATAGCAGTGGTGTTTCAAATGGTATTTTTGTTAACTATTCGGGTAATCTGGGTACTGGTCACGCAACTGATTGGTGGAATTAGCTCCACCTAATTTCTTTAAAGCTTTCAACTCCATTCCACCAAAATTGTTGAGCTTCTCATACATATGAGAGATCCAAAAATAATCTTTATATCCCGGCTTACTTCTCTTTCATTCCTGTTGTTCATGTCTTCAAAAAAACGAGACTTGAATCAGGCTAGAAATCTTGCAGATATAAAAATTTGGAACACTAAAAACTCTTATGGTTCACCCTTATGGAATATCTTCATCTTCTTAATCGGAGAAAAAGAAAAGATAACGAAAGATTGTTTGAGGCATAGTAAAAATATGAACAATTGTCTTTATAGTCTTAACAGATTGCAGCTGTCGTAAATGCGTGATTTATTTTCAATTTTTATAGTGTCCATTTAAAATTATCGAGTGTTGCGTTTCCTCGTTCATTCTCCTCTCTGTCTGCATTGCAGTGTGGCTGAAAAATTTGTAGAACAAAGCGACAGAAAAACTGATTCAAAAATTTCGAACTTAAATGTAACTTTCAAATTTCATTGTGAAAAAAATATTTGAAAGAAAGAAAAAACAAATTATAGTCTATAATAATTCATTAAACGAAAAGCAAGTTCCGTAAGTTAACAAACTAAAGTTTTGTAAAATACTTCCAAATTTTTAAATCAAGAAATAAATATAAGTTAATTTAAATAAGGGATTCATTTTAATTTCAGTTCAGCACTGAACGATTCCCTTGTGCAACATTCTAGTGCAGCAAGTCACGCCAAAACCACTTCCGAATCTGTAACGTTGTGTAAGTGTGATACTATTTTAACTCTGCACAAAGTACTTTCCAGGGAAATTGATGTAAATTGGTCTTAAGCTTGCAATTAAAAAAAAACTTGTTTTGGCCGATGCTTCCACTTCAAATAAAGAATCATTAGGAGTGATGCTGTGAGAACGTCAAGAAGTCATAATTTGATCCAATGCTTCTATTTACAGGGGGTTAAGTCTTGAAAGCAAATACTCAAACCAAGCCATTTCCTTATCGATTTCTTAGATAGTGCAACTGTTTCAGTAGTTAGCTATTTGTCGCACCAAATTATGAACATGTTTCTATGCATGAATAGAAAAATCGGAACTGTGTGAAACTATTGGTGACATCAAATATGAGTAAAATATTTATATTATGCTTACTTCATAAGACAATTTATAATTTATGTTATGTTTGTTTATACATGAAGGGACTTATATATAGACGAATTTACTAAGACATGAACAATTTCGAGTGAATGCTATAAGAGTGTTATATATATTTTTTTTTCTTAAAGAGAGTTTGAGAAACAAGTGATTATATTTTGTAAACAAGGACATGAAAATTTATTGAGTTGAAGAAGTTATCATTCTACCTAAATTATCAGCCAACCATGTACTATAGAAATTAAAAAAGAATTAACAAGCGCAAAAATATTTGATTAATAAGTTGAATAGTGACAGGCAGATGCACATGTCGCATGCAGTTCATCGCTCAAGGTCACAAATTTGCTTAAAATCAGATGCAAGCAAATTTTTTTTAAAGTTTAGTAAGATTTGTAAGAGTGAAGTTCAAAATTTGGATCTAGTTCAAATTTCTAATCTTATATTTTTGTTTCTTCTAGCTAAGTTAGTCACAAAAACAACAAAGAGAAGTATATGGTACACCTCTACTGTACTAATTCGTTGCTTGCTTGAAGTAAAATGAGGTCTTCAAAAGATGCGGTATTTCAGATGTAATCATATCATTGTAAATATCTAATTCCTATTTTTGTGTCATACACAAAATACTACGCAACACTTTCATCGTCCCAAAAAGTCTTCATTTTTTCTTTATTAAATATTATTTCACATTCTTACTCTTTTTTCTGATAACTTTTGCTGAGCACCCATGTTCCTATATGATGCATAAGAAATACCTCACAAAGTCTTTGATTGTGAAAGCTTAGCATTTAAGATTCCTTAGCAAACAAATAACTGCCACTTTGATTATAGAGTCGCTTCAGCTAGTAGTAATTTCGTGATCTCTTTTGCATTCCTTTCGTAAATGTACAAAGTCCCAGTTATAACGTTAAGATTTGCGCAATGTACCACGAAGTTTGACGGTATATACAACCAAAGAATATCGAATAGATGTGAGTGATATTTGCAACGCGGTAAAACGGAGAACGTGTTGATATCGATGGCATTTAAGATAAGGATCACTCGTAAAACCAATCACGACATTTTCTGCGTTTCTAGATCTTGAGATTTCAAACCGCCCTGTAATTATGGGATGGATATTGCAGTGCGACATACAGCACAGCAAATCTTTCCGTTTTAAAGGGTTTACAATATTTATATCTTTAAAGAAAGATTCGCAATATTTGACTTCTGCTCTCCTTCCCTTCATTTTTAAGCGTACTTGTCTCGGTATGGCGTTAACGAGAATATTTAGAAAAAAATTGTAGGCTTGATAATCTCATTTCTGTAGTATTCATGAAATTATATGTGATGCGCAAAATAATATAATGGTGACTAGTCTTGGATATCCGTCAATTTCACCAACCAAACGAGTATAGTAGGAAAGCGGGTGCAGTAGGTCCACAGATCAGCTGAGCCCGAAATGGGTCGAGGCATAAATCACTTCAGAAGATATAGGATTCGTTTCACTATGAACAAGGAATTCTAGAGCATTTTCGTATGGTTATTACGTAATCTAAATAGCTACAATTTTTCCATGCGCCCCGAAATACAATACCTCAGTGGGAATCTGTTTCGTTAATTTTTTTACCACACGATAATTAGAAAGACGACGAAGTCAAAAATTACCGGTATAAAACGGACTCATTAAATATTGTCCTGAGTTAACCTTCATGAAAAAAATTTTTTTTTTTTGCATATCCGGGTGCTAACATGTCCTCCTATCGAAATAGCCTTCCAACGTAAGATTTATAGGTCACCACTAGACAGTGAAAAAGGATACACAATTTGAACAAGCACTTAATTAGGATGTTCTCGCTACTATGGAAATCATATTCCTAAAAAATTCCAAGGACTTTCTGGTGAGAAATCCCATGTGGAGAAATCTCTTTGGCGATAATGTTCCTTGAGATTTAGGATTTCGAGTGAAGCTACAAGCCGAATTTGATGGAGACATGTTGTTTTTTGCGAAGTCAAGCAAGGTTTTTATTATGACAACAAGATTTCTTATCAAGTTTTTCTGTGATGCACAGAGTTGCATTTTCATACAAACTCCTGTAGATTTTCTGTGATTTTTTCCTAGCTAATTGTTGCTAATTACAGTCATTCGTGAGGAACATGAGGGAAAGTTTCGCTGAGCAATTACATGACACTGAACACGGATTTATACTTTATCGATAAAGCTTACTTCGACATTTATTATTTTGCCTTATGGCTTCCAAATATCGCTTCTAGGCAGTACCGATTTAGACCAAAAGGAGAAAAACTTACTCGCCAAGTATTAGAGCGGAACTCATCAAACGTGTTTAAGTGGAGAGATATGAGTGACAGGAGCTGCTGCTGTCTCTTACCACCAATACTTACCAGGTTTAAGTGCTTTAGCAAAAAAGAACTTGAAGATTGCATATGAATCAATTTATGGCCGTCAACTTTTGGAGCACTTACTAGTAACAAATGGATCTTTTCAATTGATACCCGATGAAGCGCACATAATTTGCATGCATGGAATGATGTGTGCTATTACTTAAATATAATATATTTCTGATGGATTTACATTTGTATAGATACGAATCTATATGTTTGTGGATACTAGTGAAAATGAACGGAGTGACCGTACCGTACCGATGATCTAGATCTTAACCTTCAACCCTTCATCTTGATCAATTGCACCTCACTACTATAATGGAAGGATGATGTTACCTATGAAGATAACCAAATATGAAATGAACGAGGGATCAACGATGAAACCTATCGAATCGATCGATGTTTATGATCGTTTTCCCACAATACCTTCGATACAGTCTCACCACATCATGTAAAAAGTGCGCCGCAAATGGTGTGAAATATGAACGTGATGAGCAGATTCCTCGAACTCGGCAGGGTTTTTCTCTGAGGAGAAAGAGGGGAATGGAGTGGGTAGGGTAATTGCTACAAACATTGTAAGGAAGCATAATGCTGTAGTTCCCACGCTATTTTTGAGATTTATTGTTATTGTGAAGGAGAGGGCCAGTTTTGTGGAGAAAAGTGAGGAGGAAGGAAGGCCAACGTGCCATTGCCCCGTGGCTTCTTCCGCTCAGTGCCATTATGCTCAGTTGAGCAACACTTGCAAACAATGGTTCAAAGCAAAATAAGAGGAAGAAAAAACAGGCTGTGGGAAAGATAGTCCAGATTTCATTTCACTACAAAACCTTCTATTCTCCCTTTGTTGTTGCTTCAACTTCAGCGTACCTATTTGTCTTCTTTAATCGTAATCATAATTATATAATTGTGGAAGCTACCTTAAAGTCACAGAATGGGAAGTGGGAATCAGCAGCTGTATGTAATCGTTATCAATTCATTCTGATAAGCAGCGATGAGAAGGACCATAGTCCATCTTTTTCAGCTCTCCGTAGTACGAGGGGCTGACAGAAGATGAAAGGGACAAAGAATTAACGGATTGGATGGTTTGCTGATTCCCACAGCTATTACTAGATAAAGAGCGTAAACCGCCTTCCTCCCATCCATTATAACTGTAAATGGTGCCGTCCATTGTCCTCATTGCTGACGTATCCATTTTTTATCAAAAAATGATATCGAATGAGGAAGACACGAGCTCTGCGAGGTGGCTGCAAGATAGTGATAATAGGATTGACATTAACATAACAAACGATTGCCACTAATTCGCAACCATGGGAAAATGTAGAATAGCTTTTGATAGAAAACGATTTGGCGCGGTCGCTGTCGCTCTTTTCTTCAAGCCCTTTAATTGATCCGACTTCCAGTAAAAATAAACGGGCAAATGACGTAAGAAGGAAAGGAAAGAAAGAAGTGTCGGAAGCAGTGTTCGAACAAACTTCAGGTCATTTTTATGTTATAACCCACTTCAGAGATACAGCTAACCCATCACTCCTGAATTAGCACGACAGTCACATTATTGGAGTTCCTTCCTCCAAAAAAAGTGGGAAAGGAACAATTGTTTCCAACGGTAACATGTGAAGGATTGTTTGTAATCCATTAACTCATCTGCTCAACCCATAGACGTTCCCATAGACGGAATAAATGACTGTTGGTTCAGAGTTAGATTGTTCGGTGTTGTTAATCTGCTGAGAAGTTTTCATGTTTTATGAAATGGACGTGTCAACAATTTTAGTGCCGGTCTATTCCGAGCTACTCAAGACACGAATTATTCCCATTCAAATGCCTTTTATCAGAAATCCAATTCTCCTTATTCGCTTATTCAAACTTAAGCTTTTGATCCAATTCCTTATAGAATTCGCGAATTTTGCGAAAAGAAATGTTATTTACAAATCCTGAATAATTTTGATTTGAAATCAAGTGAATTAGGCTGTGTAAACTAGCCGGACAGAAAGAGATAAAAGTGAATGAAGTTACTATACCTGCACTGTTTTGCTCTAGTAACCAACATCCTGTCAAATTTCACATAAGACATGGATGATATAATATGATGATGACACACGGCAATCGAGTATAGTAAATTACATGAGGTAGGACCACGCGTTGATTGCATTGCAATCCGTGGGAGGAAATCGTGGCGGTATTGCGGTCGAAAGGGCTAGTGCTACGTTTCCCCCTCTGACTATGTAATTTTAATCCTATTATCCGCCATGCTAATCATGGGAATCAACATTTCGCTCTGAGAAACCACTGTCCTTATTCATCGAAAAACTGTCACAGCAAAATAGATTGTGTATACATATCTTCTGCCTTTCACTTATTTATGTTTTGTTTTATATCCTCACTGGTTTACTTAGTTCTACCTTATTTACTTAGGCTTTGTACATTTCTAAACCATTAGAGCACCATTAGTTTTGTTGATGGTCACCACTTCAAGATACTATTATGTATTTGTTATGATTAATATAGTAATCCTGAAGAGTGCGAGTAACCCAAGGAGACCTGTCCCATCTAAAAAGCATTTACATATTCGAAAGATGCACAAGAAGTCTGTTTTATTTCTTTTGCCTTTCTTTTCAAGGAATTTTCAAGGGACTTTCTTGTTAGTAAAGGATTCCAAGTCTCTTTGCAATCTGTTAGAGAAGTATACATTTTTCAGCTAACATAACATTTAAAATAAAGATCACTTCTGATGTACCCAATAATTTCTTGGCAATACCTTCCTTTAGAACAAAAATACCACGCACTTCAAGTTCCAACTTACCGAGATTGCAGTTTCATTTTGCTTATCAGAAATGTTAGACTAAAGATAGTAATCTTATCTTACAGTATTTTTGAAAGCATGTATTTCTCATCGTAGGATACACTCTAAAATGCAGGCCACGATATTCAAAAAAGGGATTTCTCAAAGTCGATCTGGGATAGCGATAAGCCTGATTGCCAGACAGGATGTGATAAGTCTAAACTAAAGTGTTCGCAAATGTCCCTTCGCACGATCCATTGCTTCTCCCACGCCTCTTTCCTAGATATGCATTGACAATTGTCGGGTGGACACTGTCCACTTCTCATCTAATTACAGTCCATCATTCATTCATCGCCTATGAGAAAAGTTTCCCTTACTCGCACTTGTCGACAATCCCTCCCGTCTGACAATCTCCAAAAACCACGCCTCTGTTCATCGTTCATTTTTAACTTGGTAACAACGCATCGTTTTGTTTACTCCTATTTTGTCCGGTAGTGGTTACTGTATCTGGTGCTTGTCATTAGCATGCTACTAATTAGAATCCCTTATTGCACTCACTGTTGATTGCTCACATTGCAAAGCTTACGGATCCCTCGAACATTTTTACTCTCCCTATTAGTTAAAGATTCAGTTATATTCAAATGTTCACCTGAGTCCTCCCTTTATTACGGTTCGTTTATTAATTCACTGTGGTTTGTTTCCGAACAATTAGTAACTGAACCATAACACATCGTATGATAATAAATTAATTACCGCAGGATAATTCGTCTTCGCGCAACTCTTTCGGCAATGTTTTGTCTGAGAAGGTTTCAGAACGATCTAGATTTATTTGTTCTTGTTTGTTTGCATTTAATACTTGAGATCATCAGTTGCAACCCATGTTTATGAAATAATTTTTGAATTGTTGAAAGCATACCCAAAAACATTGATATGCTTCCCTCTCATACTAACATTGGAAATCAATTCTTGATCAGTGGCAAAATTAGTAATTTTGCTTAAATTATATCCTTCACTCAGGAGAATTTTTGGAAATTTCCATTGTGAGACTCTCCTTGAAAAACGAAAAGAAATGTCCCTGCTTACAACTACTGTTTTTGCAGATATTCTGGCTCCAATTGTTGGTATTTTTCATTTTGAACTAACTAATTTATGACGCCACGTTTTCTGACAAAAATGATGACATCACCTTATGCTTCACCGAGTCCACCAGAGTACCCAATGGAAAGAAAGGTTTGTTGATAGCGTTTTTCGGAGTCTTGAACAAGAGAATTCCTTGAGATGCAATATTTATGGACACAGTGTTTTATATGACATATGCAGTGAGAAGAAAAAATAAGGATGATAAAGGTGCATTAAAAATTCAGAATAGTTTTATTGTAGAAGAGAAATTAAAGTTGTTGATAGAAACACATATTACAGCTGAAAAAGCCTTTGATGGAGAAACGTCGTAGAGCTCGCATGAACGAATGTTTGGATCAGTTGAAACATCTCTTACTACATATTTCACCAAATCACCGTACTAAGTTGGAAAAAGCAGATATCTTAGAAATGACTGTTGCCTATCTCAATCAGATGCAGCATCCGCCATCACCATCGACATCATTCGGTATGTTCTTAAACTCATTCACTTTGAATTCTCTCTTAGAGTGGATGCTAGGTGCTTGGTTAGTATTCCAGCACCTAGCATCCACTCTACAGTCTTAATAAAGCTTAGTTCCAAGAAAATATATTTATAAAATATTGAAAGCACCATAATTCGTATTGGAAACATTTCAAACAGTTAGTTTATAAGTTGGGTCAGTACTTTTCTTCCAACTGAATTTGGCGAATGTGTTCTTTCTGTTTAAGGCAATAGCATTTATTTATACTCCCCTGAGTATTCAGAAAAAAAAAAAATCTAATTCATAGGTTTTTAAAAGATAAACGATCCTGTTTTTTAAGAAGAGAACTAAAATCATAATTGTTTTAGACAGCAATGCCATTTATCAGCAATCTTATGCGGAAGGTTTCACTGTAGCTGCTTCGGCTTGTTTGACTTATCTGCAAAATACTCTACCGCCTGGTGAATTTGCACCTCAAGCACAGCAGTTCAGAATTGGGCTCATTCAACATCTTCAATCTGTAATGTCGAATCATGTAAATGCGTCAGGTGAAGATGTAGGACCGATTGTTCCTCATTCATTACCGTCATACTTTCTAACAAACTTCCAGACACAGTCGTCATTAGCTGGTACTTGCTTAGCCTCGAATCACATACCAAATTCGGCTTATGACCGCACTGCTTGTGCTGCATATCAGTCTAACATTCCCGCATTTTATTGCACTTCTGCATTACATACGGCGGTTCCTTCGCCATCTCAATCAAATATCCTCTTTGTTCCGAAGGATTCTGTACCCCGACCTATAGCCATTGTTGGTGCGCAACCTGTTTTGTCTGGTTTCTGTGGTAATCGTGTGGAGAAATGCAGTAGTCATTCAGAACGAGCGAAAGAAAATGAAATCAAGGACAAAATTAATGGATTTGAGGAAATGGAAACAATAAAAGATGTGAAAGTTTGGCGACCGTTTTAATGCTTTATAACTTTATTTCCACTATTTTTGTGCAAGGTGTGTATGTTTGGAAGTGTTTCAAGTTTTGTCAGTGTAGATTTTCATTGGTGTAATTCTTCAGAGATATGGAAATGGGAAAAATCCTTTTTATATCTCCACTGAGTGGAGGAATATGCAACATATTAAAGTGAAAAAATTAGGTTTACTTTAATAAAGGTTTTATTAATTTAAGTTAATAACGACGTCCGGTTAATGTTTCAAGACATGCTAAAAAGCAAGGAAAAGAGGCACGTTCATAAAATTTACTTGTGCTGAATCTGTTATCTTAGACTATCTGTTATCCGGTGCTATATATTTGTGTAGAGAGGAAGAGAGAGTGTGTCATATAACTCAGGTAATATCATAAAATCTATGCTCATTTTGAATTTGTGAATTATTTGGCTTCTCGTCACTGTATTCATTAGGCGTAATATTATTGCCTTTGTGCGACAGTTTCGCTTATTTCTGGTTTGGAATACTCAAATTTTAACTATTCTTTTCTGAATAGTTACAAATGTGGATGAGAAAGCTTTCGCATACATTTATATTTTCGTGTTCATTTTTAAAATTTTTGGAGTTGCATCATATAAACATTTGCTATGGGATATCTCGTGGTATATTGGTAGGTAATACTTTCTTCGGGCCCACGGTAGTATTTCATTACGGATCATACAAAAGTTGAAGAATAATCGTAGTGGCACGAGATCTTGATAACATGAAGATAGTATCTTTAGGGATTGAATGCCGGATAATGCAAATGAATGAGTGTGTTTTAGAGTAAGCAATTTTAATCTCCATCAAGTAAATATGTATGCTGACTTCGCTGAAACGAATTCTATCTTAAAGTTTTAGTCGTCCAAGCGGTTTCTGTAATACAAGTATGTTATAAAGGTTGTTATAATAAAGTGCTGACGTATCCAGACGTAAGATTGTATCACAGAGCTTAAATATTTTTGCAGCACTTAATTTTGGATGAGATTTTGCAAGGTGTATAGTGGTGTGAGGATAACTGCACTTGAAAACAACGATCACATGAAATAAATGCTTTTTTTCCATTGAAATGCTGGAAGCAGAGTTCCAAAATCGGAGTGGTCACGACTGAAATTGAACATTGTGAATTCTGTCTTGGAAATTGATTTCCAATGCTGCATGCTCTCTCGTTTTGAAGAGTGGTCGATTCAGTTTCTTCCAACTCTAAAATCGAGAAAGTGGAAAATGAGTTTTATTATTGTAGAAACAAATGAAGCAGCCCAGCTGGTTGTCTAATTTATCATTAGCAACCCGGAATATCCGTCTGTCTTTTTTTTCTCTGTCCTCTCCTTTTTATAATTGTTTGTTAATCCTGCTTTTTTATTTTTGTCTTCCCTTCCCCTTCAATTTTTCATGATTTTTATGAAATGTTCAGATTTATTCGGATTTATTTACATATTAAAGTAGTAAGTTTCGGCCTTTCCAATTAGACGGAAGCTATAAGCTTGGGGATTTCCCGCCTTAGTTACAAATAACAATTGGCAGGAGAATGATTAAACTTGTCTTCTTGAATGGAGGAAATATGGTAATACACCTATAAATTCATGAAATGTGACGCAGAAGCTACTGATAATACTCCTATCCGAAGCATTAAGTTGTTACTTTTATTTTGTCTACTATTGCTACATTTTCGTTCGAAAATAAAATCAAACGGTCACTTCAAAGTTCACCTTCAATTCCCTTTGCTACCAGGAAAACAACTTAGTTCTCGAGTTTTTACTACTAGAATTCATTGGGGCCTTAAAACATTGTAGTCGATGGAACTCGACCAATCGTACCTTAATCCGGTTGGCAAAAGATGCAAAACGAAAATGTTTCAAGTCGACTAGAACTTCTCATTGAGTTCATGTCCTCACATCACAGAGCACCACATAAAAGTGGAGTCTGCACAAGGTTTACTTTTAAATCTATCGCTTGCAATGCCGTTCTTCCTTCCTAACGACAAACTGCCAGCTGTTGTCCAATCAATATTATTCCTCTTAGTTGAATGATGGAAGTATTAATATATTTTGCAGCAAAGTCCTCTCTCCCTCTTTCTCTTTCTCTCCCTCCCTCTCTCTCTTCTTCCTCCATGTCATTGTATAGGAATTGCAAAAAATTTTTAAAAATTTTTTGATTTGAAACAGTCTATTTGTATTTCCTGAGAGGTGAATTATTCTTCGGTTGTCGCTGAAATATGCATTTGCAGTGACACTGTTAATGTGAAGTGAAAGGAAGGTCAAAATGAAAGAGTTCTTCAATTCCAAGCGAAAGAGAATTAGGAAAAGAATTAGTTCTGGAATAAACTTAGCGAAGAGATGAAATTAGTATTTCGCGGGTGTAAACGAATATCTGGGAAGTGTAAGGGACTTTTTAAAAAAGAGTTAAAAAGAGAAAATTGTTGATTAAAATCCTTAAGTAGGTTGAGAAAGACATGAAGGGAAATATTTCGAAAACATATAAATTAGAGTCTGACAGGATTAGATTTGGGCTGCTACTATTTAACTATTGGTAGCAATTTAGATTGTTACTATTTATTATAAGGTCGATCACACGTCCCTGCCGTATTTTCTTTTATGGCTTAGCTGAATAATTCTTCACATATGTTTTCCCTGGCCTTGTCCTCTTCGGAGATCGCTGACATGCTTTGAAGGAAGTTGCAGCTGTAGCAAGGGATGATAGCAATAGCCAAAAGGCCTAGACAGGGGACAAGGGGTGGACGGATGTGTGTGTGTGTCAAGCACAACTTCCTAGAGGGAAGTGTCTCTGAAAGGGGCCTACAAATGGCATCAAATAATAATAGGTCTGTGAAATGCAATGCAATGTCTATGTGAATCGCATCGATAACGCTATTTAATTCAATAAGATCTGTAAGAACACATGCACGACAAGCAGTTAGAGTTACTCATTATGCAGGCTATTACTGGCAGGGAAAGACTTGAGAGAGCTTGCAGAACAGGACTAGAGCCCTACCTACATCAAGCAGGTAATGGCCATGGAGAGGAATAGACCCTGGAGATAGCAGGCCCAGCAGTTGTTCTGAATGCATCAGCAGTTCTGCTCAAATATCTCTGCATGCTGCGTTTGACGGCATGTCGGCAGATTCTCTCCTCCCCTCTGATCAGAGAAGCTATCATGTGTCATGCAGATCACCGGAAGATCGGGTCGGTTCAGTTATTCATGTGTGAGTATCTGTGGCCTGTGTCTTCCCAACAGGCATTCCCGTCACTGATAGGCAGCATTCCTACAATCGTGCACTTCGTCTACCCGTAAGGCAGGGAAGTATTCAGGTTACCTTGAAATACAGCCCATCCCTTCCCCTGTGAGCAGATGCTCTCAACTCTCTATCCATATGCAAGCATGCATTTATGCGTATACATTTCTGAATGCAAGGCGTTGCTTCCCCATCGCCACACGCTGCAGCTTCTCTATGCATTTCGATTTTACTGCATCTGTCTGCATGCATCTGCGTGTATTCGTCTGTCTGTGTCTGTGTGTCTGTGTTGGTATGTGTTTGCGTAACGCAACTGGATAGCATCAACCGCAATGGCCGTATGTATGCGTGCTGATGCCTTCCGCGACAACCATGGCAACCGATGAGCTACCTAGGAAGAGTGCACTTGGTAGTACTTCTTCTGTGGTTCCGCGGTGATATTGTGTGTGTGGCGTTGGAGACTTTCAGGATCTCTTTTACTGGGCTTTTGTTCTTTCCCTAATTATAGGTTGCTCTCTTTCCTCTCCTGACTGTTAAACTCAATAGCTCCACCTCCACCTTTCCAGAATTGGTTATGTTTCCGTTCTCTCCGGTTTTGACCAATCAGGAAATTGCAAGGTTCATGGTTGTATTCTTTTTAGATATTATCTGCATGCACTAATTTCAGAGCATATATTTACAGATAAATAGAATACCGCCTAAAGTGAGAGTAGTTACTATTACCGCTGCTGCTGTTTTGTTGCAATCACTTGTACAACTTATTTTTGTTCCATTTCGACTGTTTTTCTTGCTTCTCAGTTCCAAATTTGTTTACTATTTGTTCTGTAAAAAGTAAGAAGAAGAAGAAGAGAGGCAGAGTATTACCACTGATTCATCATATTTATTGTTTATTGACATTGGGTACAAACAATTTGCGATAACAGTCATTTCTCATTACAAAGAAGCACAGTGTACCATCATTTTATCGATATACATTTATATAGCACTATTAATTGATCAGAAATAACGGGAATCGACAGAAACGTTGAAGAAGAAACGAAATAGAGAAGACGGTTCGGTATGAGCGAATTGGATCAGCTCAGGCAGGAAGCCGAACAGCTCAAAAGTCAAATCAGGGTATTTACTTTGTGCTTATTTTACTAGAATTTAAAAGTCCTGTTATACCGGAGGCTTTCCAGTCCGATTTTTCGTAGTTTTCATGTGTCGTGTGTTGACGTACCGCTTGGAAGTTTCAGTGTTAAGACCATTTTCCGGAGTAACGAGTAGCTACTTATGGGTGTAGTAAACTATTCTGAAATAATTTGTAGAAAATTATAATTTTTAATGAAACTGGATACATTCTGAAAAAAGAAAAGGATCCTGTAATGATATACAACATATCTAGTATTAGAATCACAGAAAATCAGATTTGGTACAAAACAAAATCAGGTTTGATTGAATACTCCTGTTTTTCATTTTTTGATTATGGGAAGCTTTTTGATTGTTAGACGTACGATGTGCAAGATATTCGTGAACCCCACTAGTTTTGTCTTTATATAACTTCTTTACTGAGGTAGCTGACGTAGAAAATTGGGTAAAAGAGGTAATTCTTTCCCTTTTTTAAAATAAATTTGATGGATATTAACTACCATCTCTTTTAGCTTAGATTCTGTAAAATAGGGTATGCAATAAATTTTCTGAAATAATCCCAATGTTCTCTCGAATCACTAGAATCATTCCTAGTTGCAGTTGTACTGGATGTGGATTTTAGAAAGTCTGTACTCATATTCCTCGACCTTCTTCCGGTTCATTTTTTACTAAAGAACTGGCGTTTTACAAGATGGATTGAAATTATGTTGCAGTGCAGTTACTCGTATAGTTTAGGAAAATTTGAGTTGGAATTATGGCCATTCAGTTTGTTTGGTTAAAATATAGGCAGCTATAAATACTTAGGACAGTTTAAAAGCATGAACAAATTTGGAGTTTGATGTAATAATATATATATATGATAATCTGGTTCATTTATAGGAAGCTCGCAAAGCTGCCAGTGACACGACGTTGGCTTCCGTGGCCGCGAATTTGGAACCGATTGGTCGGATCCAGATGCGTACACGGCGAACGCTGCGAGGACATTTGGCCAAAATATATGCAATGCATTGGGCATCTGATTCTCGAAACCTTGTTTCCGCCTCACAAGATGGCAAACTAATAGTTTGGGATTCATATACTACAAACAAGGTAAAATAGTTTTTAATACACTTTCAGTTCTTATACTTCATATCAGCATCTAACACGATACTTGCATTTTATTTGTTGAGGGAATGTAAAGGCGCCATATTCAATCCTTTGTTTTAGTAATCTCGCACTGTTTTTCTGCTCAAGTTCGTGGCCATTCTGAAATGCATCAACAAAACGAGAAATTTTTTTGTAGAAGAAATTGCTATACTGTTGCCGAATAAAGTTCTATTTACTATTATCATTTCTCTTTTAATGCATGCAAATGGTCACTTTTTCTGGATATTGCATGTTTACAAATAGGTATTATTGCAATACTGTTGCCATATCGGTATCCTCAGTTTGTTTGTGTTTTCAAAAAAGTTCATTAGGTTCTGAAGGTATTAAGTGACAGATCATTCTTTTCTATGACTAGAGCTTGTTGTGATCCTTATTAATACTTTTGAGTGAAACAGTAAAGAGAATGTGTTCATTTTTAATTTATACATATACAAATATAGTAGTTAAACTTGGTGACGATATATTTCGGCAATTAAATGGTACATTATAGCCACTAGATGAAAGCAGAGTCTAAATTTAATAGTCCTGAATTTATTACATCTGCACAGAGCGAAAAATCCCATTTCTCTCTTCAATTTTTATTAATTCTATATTGAAGATCATGAAGAGAAGTCGTTTAGTGCGTTGAATCAAACAGATATAAATAAATCATTATTGTAGGTGAGATTCGAGAATATCATCATGAATTTGCACAGGACGGTTGAAGCTGAATGAGAGGTGATTTTGTTTGATAAGTTAATATCTTAGTGATAGACACTGGAGACGAGTTGATCGTCAATGATTTAACCAGAATGCTTCTTGCTATAGTATACATAGAATTTAGAGTATTTGGAAAAGAGTTTGGACTGCTGCAAAATTTAGCTTTAGGATATTGTCTGCAAACGATACTTCGATAACAACTTTTTTCCGCCAATTTATTGCTACTTTTGGCAATTAGAAATATCGATCAGTTTGAGATATTCGTACTTGACGAAATGACGTCAATATTTTGTCTTATTATTTTGATTTCTTGTGTATGTTGTTAACTTTATTTTGAAATTTTGAATTGGAGTTCGGTCGAAAAGTTGTTGGTCATTTTAGAAATTCCTGTTTATATTTACAAGCGCTTGTCATTTGTTACCCTTTTAATGTTCCCATCTCTGATCAATCCATCTATTTAGAACATGGCAGCAAGGGTATTTGGTTTGAAACTATTGCAGACTTATTATTTGTCCGCAGTTACTTAATCTTTAATCGTGAACGTGAATTAATAAGCATTTTGCCTCGTATAACCTGGAACTAAATGTTCTGGGGCATCACTAAACGTAACTTGCACTGATGTTGCCTGGTAACAGCACATACATTAGTTAGGTGATAACTTGCTCACCTACTGTTCGAATACTATTCTGACACAGTTTGACAAGAAAGTATTAAATAATATGCGAGCATTCTCTTCGTAAAGCAGAAAAGAACTTAAAAAAGTGCAGCGTTCGTTGAACTGCCTTTTTGGCATCTACCAGTCTTCATTCCAAGTGAATGTCTACTGGTTTTACTTCCGAAAACATAACTACATTGATCAGCTAATCAAACCATGGAACAAATTGAATTGTATCATACCACTTGTGCTTTATGGTTGTGTTATAGTTAACCAAAATGATAGGCGTACTTTTTTTCACTGTTATAGATTGAAAATTTGCGAGAGAGATCTCTGTTATTTCACGATATATGTTGTTAGATAATAACTGACTAGAACTCTTCTATACCCTTTTTCTTTCTTAGTTCAAATAATTGAGGCAAATGAATGATTCAATTCGGTAGGAGAAAAAATTTTTCTTAAGAACTCAAATTGCTGTATGTTAGCTGTTTATTCGATAACTTGTTGAGAGTAACGGACTGTCAAATGAAGTGATGAAAGGGTAGAGGAAGTTTAGCATTGAATTTGTAAAATCTGTATTCTCTAAATCATTCCATGTGTGTCTGACTTGAACATCGAGTTACTGCATGGTTAATTCTTGATTCTTTTAAATTTTGTTTCATTTCAGGTGCATGCAATTCCTTTACGATCATCATGGGTGATGACATGTGCATATGCGCCATCCGGTTCTTATGTTGCTTGTGGTGGACTCGATAATATTTGTAGCATTTATTCACTGAAAACACGCGAAGGTAACGTACGTGTCTCGCGTGAATTGCCAGGTCATACGGGTTATCTATCATGCTGTAGGTTCCTCGACGACAATCAGATTGTTACCTCTAGTGGTGATATGACATGGTAAGTTATATGTCGTTCCTATTTTAATTGTTAAGCTTCGAAAAAGATTTCAGGATAACATGCCTGCTGTAAATTCTGGACCGCATATAACCGGAGATTTGTAATCTATGATGAATAGAAATCTTAATTCAAAAATGCATTTTCTGGGGGGTGATAAGTGCTTATCTGTAACATTTAATTCGCATTTTTATAGAAAAAGTTGAACATATTCTCAAAGTCTTGCAGAAGTTATTATGCGGATTTTTTTGGATACTATTGTAAGCATCAGCGAAGTACTTTGTCTTAGTTTAATTGCTTCGAATTAGGTAGCCTGTATTTTCAACGTTACTGGCATTTATTACATTAGGAATTATTTGATATTTTGAGAAATAGTGATATAATACTCAGCAGGGATTTGGATTCCATTATATCGGTTTTCTTAGTATATTTTTTTCCTGTTTTTCATTTGCATTGTTTCATCCACTCAGTACTTTTTAATACAGTTGTGGTTGAGATTTTGTCAAGTGCTTTAATATGTACAGGCCTAAGCTTGAAGAAGTTGGAAGAAGCATGTTCAGCACCGTATGGTATATGGTATAATTGTAGAACTGTGCTATTTGTGTTAAGTTTCTTACTGGTGGTTTTTACTTTAGAAATAGGGAATAGCTTTTTTTTTCTTTTGTTCTGGTAATAAGCTAATACGTTTCCTGACGCCTCTAAAAAGGATGTTCAACCCCCTCTTTCCTTCATGATATTTTTGTGTTAGTATATTTCTTGTTATTTGCTCTGTTTTCCCTAGTTAAGCGCATCCATCCTTTGATGGTTGCGAAATCGATTTTTAGTCGAAAGTTTAATGCTTTCTTCTTTTGTGGCCACTCACTGCTCATTCCACATCATCTGTCTTTCTGATCATCTGACCATTCATTTATACCCTTGAATCGGTTGCGTTCACAAATAAAACAATGTCCTACACTATATAGTTTCAAACACTTATATTTATTTGTAAACGCAGCTTGAAATGAAATGGATACTGAAAAGTGGGATTACAAAGGAAATCATATATGTTTACATCTACGTATCTTTGCTACATAAATTTTGCTGTTCCATCTAGTAAAACTTTTTCCATTTTTGATTAAATTCTACCTCAGTTCATTTAAGTACAGCAGTAAATATGCTGTAGACTTCAGTATTAACTGTAATTTTAATCGGTGACTTTGTATAGACATGGTAAAAGTCTGGAAAAGTGAATAATGACGTATGACCCATAAAATAATTGAAAAATTAAGTGGTCGTTATTCCGGTGCTAAGAGATTTGGACTTCATTGTATTGAGGCTATGATGCATATCCAAATTTCTAACAAGAATTTTATAACAGTGTGTATCAGCTATAATTGTGTAATAGATATAAAAATTATTTAGATACAATGCACTGGAATTAACTTTCTTTGCAATAAGCATTGGAATCATCAAATATAGACTAGTATGAGGTGGTGGGAAAATAGAAATAACCGTATTCAAATTTTCCATAAGATAGAAAGTTAATTCAAAGAACTCAAAAAGAAATAATGGTGTTAAAGTTAAAGTTTATTACATCTGAAGTAAACACATGAATTTCATTGTTTGTATGACAGGACGGACTTACGACATTGTAGAAAATAGTGTGTGTCAGCTGTAATTAGCATTATTTATAATTCTGCTGTACATAATTGTATTCCAAAAAATATGGAACTTTCAAAATTTATTGCAGTGCTCTGTGGGATATCGAAACTGGGCAACAAGTGACCGCTTTCACAGGACATACAGGCGACGTGATGTCGCTATCTCTCTCACCTGATATGCGTACATTTATATCAGGTGCATGTGACGCATCCGCTAAACTTTGGGATATCCGTGACGGCATGTGCAAGCAAACGTTTCCTGGACATGAAAGTGATATCAATGCTGTCACCGTGAGTTATAAAATTTAGTAGTTCGTCCCGAGTAGATATCATTCTCATTTTTTCAGTAAGAGCAGGGAAACTCAGCCAACAGTTGAACTTATTTTACGAGACTGAACAACTATACTTTTGTTAAATTTTTAGGAGAAAGAATTTCCTCCTCTTATTTTCTGTCCCATATTGGTATTTTCATATTATTTTTATACAGAGCTATCTGATTTATTTTCAGATCTTGTTTTCGAACATTTTTTAGTTTGTTTCGCATTTAAATGTTTTAAACGCCGGTGATGTTTCTTCACTGATTTATCTTTCAGTATTTTCCTTCGGGGCATGCTTTTGCTACTGGCTCAGATGATGCAACCTGCCGATTGTTTGATATAAGAGCTGATCAAGAACTAGCCATGTATTCTCATGATAATATTATATGTGGTATGTTTTGGATCAGTAGTGTATTGTTTTTGAAATAAAGCTCATCTAAATTAATTTCGTATTATATGGTTTAAAACTCGCTTGAGATTTGCGGCCCAGCTGTATTCTTCCACTTAAATTTCTTGAGAGGGGTTTGTGCTACTGTTCTTTCGCACTAAAATTTTTACTTGGTAGAGATGGCAGGTAAGCGGTTTCCTGAATCGAGTATTTAAGAATAGGAATTGTTAATCTTTATACTGCTGGTTATTCAGGAATTACCAGCGTAGCATTTTCGAAATCCGGCCGATTATTATTCGCAGGCTATGATGATTTCAACTGTAATGTATGGGATTCAATGCGACAGGAAAGAGCTGGTATGTATATGTTAAATCGTTTAAAGAGTATAAATGGATTTTTTTTTTTTTTTTTTTCATCATGCTACTTACGAATAAATTATTGATCAGAATTTTTTTGATATAAAGCTTTTATCTATTCTTCATACATATTACTTATGAATGAAACGAAAGAACTAATTTAATACTCAGTATGGTTTTTGATTTCACTACTTTAAATTTCTTCTATATAGCAAAAGATTGGAGGGTTGTAAAAGTTTTTAGATTGTTTCATTCATAAGTAATATGTAGATCTTGTGATTGTTCAGTGCGGCATACCCCTAGTTTCACTCATGAAGTGGGCATAGTTGTATGAAAGATATTTATAATGGGCTCATAGTTGTAGTTATGAGACAGTTCTTTAAGAATCTGATGGTTAAATTGTGGATGGTTCGAATTTTTTATTCTTAGTTAGCTAGTATGCACTGTTTATATATATTATCTTGCCCATTTATTTGCAGTATAAAATTTTAGGTGTATTAGCCGGTCACGATAATCGCGTGTCCTGTTTAGGAGTTACAGAAGATGGAATGGCCGTATGCACCGGTTCATGGGATAGTTTCTTAAAGATATGGAACTAGGGTAAAACATGAAAGTTAACCACATTATATCACTTTTTAACGCTAAATTCGTTTTATTTTTCCATTTCTCTGATGAATAACAGGCTCATCTGCAGCGGGCCTTTATTATTAATATTAGTACTGTTTTTGCAATTGAAGTTTTCAATTTTCTACGTTCGCAGTTTTGATGCACGCTGTTTTTGAACTATTGCATCTTTATTACAGTACTTCTGTAATATTTTGCACTAGTGTGAATGATTAAGACTTCTTGACTCTGAAGAGTTGAATTTCACTCTTTATCAGACACGAAATCAAGAAGATTTTTGCTCCGAAATTATTGCTTACAACAGCTTGTTTTTCTTTCCTTCGGCCACCGCAATTACGATGCTATCTGGTTCACTTATGTTACCGGTGCGCAGCTTTTTGCACTATCGTTGCCGATGATGGTTGTGTGGTATTTTACAATGATTACAATAAGATCCTGTACCACATTCCTCAATATTAATATTTTCGAGATCTTTGATAACAAAGATGATTGCCGTATGTGTAATAGTTTATATGATTTCGGTATTTATCTTCAACTCTTTTTTTCTCCGGAACTTTGAAAATATTTTCATCTTATATTGAAAGTAGTTCCAGATTCTGAGTAACTAAATTTCTATTTCTTGCCTGTCAAATATTTTTACGTATCGTATCATGCTGTTATTTTGTATTATCAGACGTAAATATATTAGTTTTTTTTTTTTTTTTTTTTTTCAAATATCGCTTCCCTGTTTATCAACATGTATTATAGTATCACCTCCGTACTTTCCTGTTATTCTTTTTGGAATTGACAGTTGAAATAATCATGAAATACAGAAGAGGTTTAAAGGTCACGTCATGGATTTTTCAAAAAGCCATACGCAGCGTCTGCAAGATACAGCGTGTTAGTTGCTTCGTAATATTTTTTCGTGCTTAACTAGAAATTTCCGGTGATACTGCAATTTAAAGGCAAAAATAATCTCTTTCTGAATTTTCTCGAAGATTTTGGAAGGAAGTTGAAAGACTGCAGAAAAAACAATAGATTCATAAAAAATGGAAATTGGAAGTATAATTTCCAAACCTTTTGAAGAACTATTTATGTAGAAGAATTTGTTTTCGATCATTTTTTTTTATGCGTATATGTTTGTTATCGTTTTTAAACTGGTTTCAGAATTTTTTTTTAATTTAAAATTCGGCTTCTTTCATTTAATCCGTGTTCTCCTGCCGTATTTTGCACATTATATTTCTTTTGGTATATGTCTGTGTGTGAGCGCCTGCGAGTATGTGTGCTTATAACTCCTGTCGTTCTTTTGATTTTTTTAAAGTTTTTTATTTTAGCAAAGTTGATTTTGTTTTAATGGTGTCCAAGCATTTTAATAATATTTTGTTTTTTTTTTTTAAATTATTGCGAAGAGGGTCCTTCAACTAGCTTCACAGTTTTCTGCATTTTTTTTTTTTTTCATTCTGAACTTTTGGATAGGGAAAAGACTTTAAATAGTCATCGCATTTCTTTCAAGAAAACTCTTATTGGTGGATGATCAGTTTATATGTGGGATGTAATCAGGATTAAAAAGTGTGGGGATTGGTGCTATGTTTAGGGAGCTGATGTCTATATCTGATCATTTGACCAGGAAGTTTGGAGGACGAAACTGGTGATTGCTTTTCGCGGCGATTTATTGGTTAGTTGAATCCCTAGTAAATAAAATTCTTTCCAAAAACTGCATGTTTTTAAATTAGTGTGTCTAGCTATGATAAATCTGGTGTTTCGTCACGAACTTTAAACATACTTCAAGTCAGTGAAATTGATTTACTTTGTTCTGAAATTTGAATCGTTTCTCTATGAATGATTTGTTCGCATGCACTATTCTGATCTTTGTCGTATTATGTTATTTGATTATCATTATCACTACAATTCTGTTATTAAAGTATGAAGCTTCGTTACTTGAATCTCTGTTACGAAAGTTGATTATCGACAACTCTGAAATGTACTTCGTATTCATTGTTGTAACAGTGAATGGAGGTCAGAGTGTATGGAAATCCGAAATCCGAGTGTGTGGTTGTAGAGTTTCGAAGTTTCTGCATTTGAATTGATAAAATTATCAAAATAATCAGTTAGATGTGGTGTTTCAAAAATTCTTTCTATGGGCGCATTTATCATTTCTTACATTCATGCAGTGCTGAACACGGTTGCATTTATTTTTCAGCAGTATTTTGCGAGATTTATAATGTTGAGGATTGCAGTTCCAGAAGTTGAAATCTAACCGTTCCATATAGTTGTCATTTGAAGCATTCTAAACATCATTATACTTCCTGTTACAAAGCATTTTGAATGAAATTAGTAGCGATGCCGTGAATATCCCCTGATCCTTGAGTCTTTAATCCTTACTCATTATCATTGTTGAAAAAATGAAATATATTAAATATTCGGGGATAAAAAAGACATTTGAAGGAAAAACATATGGAATGAATCTGCTGAAGAAAATCAAAATATTTAAAAAAGGTGATGGGAATGCTGAGGATGTTAAAAGGGAACAAAGAGAAAATAAGGTAGGGGCTGCGTTCTTTGTTACATCTTGTCGAACAGGAGAGACGATTTGAAGAAGGGTAGGTTGTCATCTTTTATCTTTGACGGGATATATCAAATGTTCATAAATTGGTAATGCATTTCGAAAATTTTTCCAGTTTATTAAATTATAATACATTTCCAATTTTGGGTACTTGGTGGGTAGTTTTCTATTTCAAGCTTATGGGCAAGAGTTTTGTCTTTATATTTGCATTTGCAAAAACTAAGTTTTAAGCCAATTTTACTAATGAGGACTTTTGCTTCGATTAGATTAGAACCACTTCATGAACAATGGATAAGCTACCTTTAATTGTATCAAAGGCCAAAATAATTTATTAACTGGTTTTTTAATACTTCAATGAATGGAGATGTCTGGTGTACAAATTACCTTGTCCTTGTTCCTTTAATTTCCTGAAATCAGTATCCTTTTATTATGCGAGAGAATAGTTTTGAATTTAAAATAACATTTAGAAAAGCTGAAAGTTCTAAAAATGAATTGAAGTTCTAGTGGTCAAAACGAACAGAATTTTATGTCTTTTGGTCATTCTGCCTTAAATTGCATGAGAGATGGGATCATTTCCATGCCGCTTCTCTAATTTTCCATTTCCAATCGGTGAAAGACCCGTTTTAGTCTTATTTGAAGCCTATCTCAAATCCATCTAACTGTTTCGTATGTATTATTATGTTCCATCGTATAAGTTAAGTAGATTAGATTTGAATAAGCTAAGTTGTAATTTTTGGTCTTTATCGTTGGACTCCTGAAAGGTTCAATCTTCTATTTCTCTTCTTTCTATTGATTATGAGCAGTAATGCGTTATCATCTCTTTGCTTAACTTCTACGAAAGAAAGAAATCAGATTAGCAGACATCATTTCAGCATCGTATTTAGCTTAAACCTAGGCTTAGACCAGCGACAGTTTATTAAAAAATAAGGGAGAAGTTATGTTGATGGAAACAACTGAAAAAAGGATTCTGAATATAAATCTAAATTTAATTGGCTGAACGTTGTCTGACATGACGTAAGTCGTAACACTTTTCTTGAGATTAAACTATACTGCACAGAGAGTCATTTTGAAAAGTTTGGCAGTTAAAAAAGTTATGAGAAAATGAAAAACGTATTAGAAAACATATTTTGGTAGATTTAATTTGTTATTCACACATATTGTACAAATTTTGATATTGCAATTCTGTTCCTAAGGTTAAATTATTTATAAAGAACCATCAGGAATGCAGTTTAATTTCACTGCAAATTGTATTCATGCAGAACTACAAATGAATATCCTGGTAGCATTTTTGATATATCATAACTTATATCGATCACTGCTGTATAGTTTCTGTTTTTCTGATAGCACCAAATGTATAAAACTGTTTTTGATGATCAAAAACTCAACTTTTCAGCGAGTCTTCACTTCGCTTAAATCCAAATTTAAATTAAAAGTCGGAAGGAGGAAATAAATAATGTACTAGAAATTAATGGTGGTTGTCGTTTATATCTTTTTAGTCAGGATATTTGTGCATTTTACCAGAAGTAAAATGACGACATTTTCGGATGAGACAAAGGAGAGGAAAGAAGATTGTTCTTCATTTGCTATTGTTATGCGAAATCGGTAATTGTGATATTTTTAAGCAAGCCAATTCACAACCAGCATTTACAATGGAACAGGCCAGTAAAGCACTAAAGGCCTATAAGAATCGCAAAAAAGCACGACAAAAGGCTCGCGAGGAAGAGGCGTGTTACGTGGAGTACAGGAAAGCTGAAATTCTAGCAAAATTTAAACCAAAAGTGGGAACTCTTCGAAGTGCTGATGAGGCAGTCTTTTGAATCCATCAAAGATCGAATTCAATTAATTTCGCTCATTTGAGTCTCTATGAATGGTTAAAAGATTTGCTATTTACAACTATGAATTGAATTTGAATGTCTTTAAAGTAATTATATTTCAAACCTTTTGATTTCCTTAGTAAGCTTTGCTTACTCTATTCCTATGATTCATGTTGATTCATAGTGCAATATAACATAACCTGCTTCATTCTTGAAAAGGTTACTTCCAGTAGTTCAAGAAATAGCAAGTTCAACCTTGAAAGGAATAAACGTGAGAATATTTAGAATCAATTGTAGGTTTTCCCAAAGCGTCGGAAGGGTTCAATGGGTTTTGGCGAACGAAAAGCGCATTACTTATCCATTCGACCGAAACCTTGCTATGCAACTTGGCTTGGTAGACGGCGAAATATTATCGAGGCGAAGTTTGTTATTTCTTAGATCTGTTTATTGAGCCAGTTAAATTATTACAACTAAATGAATTTAAATACTGAAATCAAATAAAGTTATAACATTGTAACTATTCCCTTTGCGATTAGCTAACTGCTTATAGAGATGTTGAACGTATAATAGAAATTGAAGTACGGATTATATGTTATCGATTGAAGTCAATTAACACTCT